ATGTAGAAAATCTATAATACTTCAAGACTAGCTGAAACCAGGACGTTCCAACCAGGGATGAGAAAGAAAGTTTATTTTGTATAACTTAAAATTAAAATAAATAAAAATCGTTAAAATAATGTATGTATGATACAGCCTTTTTAAAAAAAAGTTTAACGTCCCACCACACTGGCCAAGTGCGGGTTGGCGGACTTCAAATGTCTCTTGAAAACTTGCTAGGTTTTCTCAGACATGCCGATTTCCTCACGGTGTTTTCCTTCACCGTAAGTCAAGTGTTAATCAAGTTATAAATTATTCGCACATAAAAATATCAGAGGTGAGAGACCCGAGATTTGAACTCGGTTTTTCACTCGGTTTCCCAAGCGAGCGCGTTACCACTGAGCTACCATTGCCGTAAAATATTATGTAAAATACTATGATATTACTATAAAATTAATAATAATCGTAATGAGTTAAGTATTGCATATGATAAAACAACTAAAACAATAGTCGTAAATTATTATAGGCTTTGGAAGTTTTTAAATAACTTGTTTTATCTGTATATCATATTTACATAAAAGGGTTAGATATTCATATTTTACATAAATTTGAAATTTTGATATAAAATTCGTATACCTCCACTAGAGTTGTAAAAGGAATTTTAAATTCAAAGTTTTATACCTTAAAAAGAGGTGACAAAATCATTGTGAGAGATCTATCGTTGATTCAACAAAACTAACGGGATACGACGAGGTAAATATAAAAAAATCGATTATCAATTTTTAAAGTTTGTTCTTACCTTTTCAGTAACCGCCAGTCCGTCAAACTCCTCAGGAGCCAAACAATCACCCTTAAACCAACTCGCCAGCCTACCAAGTTCACCGAGCATCGTTGACGGAGTTAAGGAACTAAAAGCCATGATTGAAACCTAACTTCACTTTTTTAAGATTTTAAAAAACTCTTAAATTATTCGTGCTCAATTATTTTAAATCAATTAATAACTAAGGATTACATATTTATAGCAAACTAAAATTATAATTTATAGTTTTCGAATTCAATAAATTTACGCTTTGTAGCAGTTACGCAAATTCAAATTTTCCCGCGCATTTACAGTTGACGTCTTAACCTACAGACGTTGCGAGAGGGACTAAAAAAATAGACAATAATCGCACCCTCAGTGGCATCCTCAAAATATTCGCGTCTGAACCGCTATAAATCCAAATTACACCTTATCTTCATCGAGTAAACTCTATTTTCGTATGTTAGAGGTCAAATCACGGAGCATGCGCGATTGAAAGAGATAGCAATACTTTTGATTTGTACTTTCATAATAACCAATTTTCAATTTATTTAGTTATATTTTCCATTTTTTTTTTCTTTTTTGTTCTTTGCAAATATAATTCAATATGAACATTTTAATGCCAGAAAAAGATTTTTTTTAGTCAAAGCTTATATGTGAATCCAAAATGTTATATTCATTTATTTCAAATATATATATATTGTTTTAATAGGGTTTTTTTTACGTTTTGTAATAGGATAAAATTGCAGTTGTGTAAATACAATAGTCCAATATAATTGTCTTCTTTTATATCCAATTTATAATATAATTGACAGAAATATTTATGCAAATTCAACATTTAAAATATATTTAGAATGATTCTAACTTAAATATATTTACTCTTTAATACAACAAACAGTATGTCTGATTTAAATTATTTGCTTAGAAAATCTCTATAATATTAACACAGCATTGTTTGATAAACTGGTTGTAATGTCCATTTGACGTTTATTTAAATAATGAATGATAACTGATTTGTTTGTTTTACTCTTTTCAAATACAATACAAATTAAAGTTGTATCAGACTTGATACCATTGTCATATATTACTTAATTCTTAGCTTAGCCAATTACTAGATAACTTGTACATAATTGTAACTCTGGAGAGAATCTTATGTCATGGATTTCTTAACAATCAAACTTACAATCATACAAAACATCAATTTTCAAACTCAAGAGTACAGTACTATCATAACACTTGCTGGCAAATCAACATGTTTTACGAAAAAAAGATTTAATGATAAGTATATAAGATAAAAAATATTTTCTAGACTACCCTCATACATTAATTATATAACAACCTAAAGCTTAAACTTTAAATAATTTGAAGCTTAATAAATTAATCATTTTACTACAACAATTATTTTTCAGTATGAATAAATAAGGATATTGAAAAATAAATCAGGCCTTGTTATAGTTTTGAAATACGCCCACTTTTGAAATAGAAAATCTAGTGTAAATGTCAAAACATATAAACAACATTGCTTCTTTAAAAAAAATAGTCTTACCTTGGGCGTTTTAATGATATCCATCGTAGAAATTGATCACAATCGATACACGAAACAAATCAAAAACTTGGGAGAAACATATGTTTTTTTTATATGTAAACAAGTTAGAAGAATTTTAAAAGGAATGTCTTTAAACAGTAACAAATGACATAAATAAACTCACTTTTATTATTGATACAGTAAACATATAAACGTTTTTTTTTATCTTAACAAAACAACTTGGTTAAATCGAAAAGTTTGACATTAGATAAAGATATTTTGACGTTTCACGTTTGATAATTGATATATCGGCTTGACATATATTAAAGACACGTTCACATTTAACCATAATTCCACTGTCAAATTCTAGAAAACCTAAGATATATTATATACGTTGCAGATACTTTTAATTTTCATTTGAAATTATGTATTTATTGTATTTTTAAAAGAAATAAGTAAATTTTTTTTTTGTATCATTATTTTAAAGTCAAAAAAGTGTCTAATCTTTGAAAAGTTAGTAAAATTTAAATACACAAACTATATAGAAATGCTACGCATGTAAGATAGAAAATTCTTTATATAAATTCCATGTTATTTTAGTTAAGTTGTGAATTTTATTTCTGAAAAATATGGGATATTATTTTATTGTACATCTAATATTTCATAAATTACTAATGAAATTCTTATTTAAATGCACACTTAATAAACATTTTATAGTGAATATATGACTTCAGATTTGATTTATTATCAAGTCCTTTTAATCAAAATAAGCTATTTTCCTATTTTATTAAACCATAGCAATTACTTATTAAAATTTAATAAATGTTCATATAAATTTAATACTTCATACTTTCTGTTTTATTTACAATGTTAATATTATCGCCGTGGGATATTTTTTTTCTAATAATTAAACAAAAAGGTACCCTCAAAATAGCTCCCTTCAGCTTAAAGATAAAAAATAAGCAATATAATTATTTGATTTTTTCGAAACTAAAGTCGTTTTATGGGGTAACCTATACATATAATAAAATAGTGTAACGCGGGGTTTTTACAAACAACGGTGATCGCGGGGTATCGTGTCGGAACATGTACGATCCTGTAGGGCCGTGTTTCCTGCGATCGTATAGTTTAGGCGCCCGCGCCCCCCCGTCTCCCGCGAACGCGTGAGCGACGGCGTGGCTCGACCAGGCAGAGAGCCGCGAGCGCCGAACGCGTAAACATCTATATCATAACGATCCTCCACGACTCTCATTTTCGCGCAGTTGTAAGATTTTATGTAATTTTTTGTGTAACTTCTATAACCATAAGTTTTCTTGTCAAACCTCAAGTGAAATAAATATATTTTTAATAGACTGTTGTGTACCTATTAAAATAGTAATTAAGCCGAATCTGTATATTAAATATTTTTTGGAAAATCTTATTGACATAAACATTATTATCGCTACAGAGGCCGAATCTATAGTTTTTAGAATTTTTGTCTGTTTGTCTGTCTGTCTGTATGTTACCGCATCACGAGAAAACCACTGGAGGGATTTTCATGAAATTTGATATTAACATACAACACAACATAATACAAAAACTGCAATGTAAGAGTATACTAATATGTAAAACCTAAGAATTTGGTTTTTGGTCATCTGAACGCGGGCGGAGCTGCGGGCAATGCTAGTAAAGTTTATATTGCCAAAAAATTATTTATGATCAAAATTACTTGAAACTTGGGATTAATTCTCTTTAATGCAATTAAATAGATACAAGTTTTAGCATTTTTCGAAATTCAATCCCATAAGGGGGTAAAATAGGAGATGAAATTTTGTATGTAATGTAAAAAGTAGGACAAAAAAACTTGTGTGTGTACTTATGTACACACGTAAGAAGTTATACTTCTTTGGCGTAACAAAACAAAAATAGCATTCGATTTCATGTCTTAAGTCACAACTCTCTGTAAAAGGAATGCAGCTGACTTGATCATGTCGCTTTCAGTTAACTTCAACATGTCGCTTTTTGGCTGTCAGTGTAGCGTAAACATTTTACTCTCATATTTTTTTCTAACCGTGCCAAAAGAAGTATAACTTTAAAAATAAAAAAATATTCACCTGTTGTTATTTTAAGAGTTTTAAAATTACTTTCTGCAAAATGGTGTCCACATAGCCTTAAATATAAAAAGTGTGATTTCGCACAATTTCTTCGGTTTTTGTCTTTTGGGAACAAATGATAGCCATTTTCTTACCATCCCGGCACTGCACTATTTGTCATTTTAATTGAATTTTAAATAAAATAAAAATGATCCATCTTAGTTATAAAGCTTTAGAATATACTGAGGACCATAGTGATTTTGACATCTGGCGGGAGAAATAGGCAAAATTCTTCCCCATTGAAATGATAAAAATATTTAAAATAGAATCAGCTACATATTTAAATGAATATTGGTTAAAGCATTCAAAGCCTTGATACCTTTAAATTTTTAAAGATAATAAAATCTCCTACACACGGATCAAATGCGAAGTTCACAACTTTCATACAAGTAGGGGGCTTGGGACAGGGGGGGGGGGGAACTTTGGTTTGGTAATGACAGTGACAGAATTTCTTGTCATCTTGCACAAGAATCAGTCGATTACAGAAAGTAAAGTGTTTTTTTTGCAGTTAATTAAAATTTGTATACTGCTATATAAAAAAGCGTAATTATTGATTTAATTAATAATGACTTCTACGGTGCCCAGTGATAGAAATGAGGAACGCCGACGCAGAGTGAGTACGACCAGTATTTAAAAAACAGCAATAATAAATAGTCTAAAGTACATATTGTTATGATTCATGTTATTGCGTTTTCCCCTCTTATCTCAAATTACCGATAAACATTTCAGACAGGTGAACCGGTTTTTTGTACTTTGATTTTTGATGTTACAAATTATATTGTAAGACATTTTTCTAGATTGTTCACTTATTTATCAAAACAGCTTTAGTTCTTGATAATAGAAAATTTATAATTCTGTTTTCACAATTCTGGCTCGATCGTTTAAAAAAATGATCATTAATCATCCAAGTCCATTTTTTTATATCTCTCTTTTGCTATGTTTACATCTCACCAGTTTTTACAACAATTGAATCATTTAGTGTAACCATAAGGAAAATGTATGTTTGTAATGTATGTATATGAAATTATCTCTACTGTTATACGGTATTGATATATTTTATATTATGTTAAAAACAGAACAATTTTTTTTTACATTCCACAATTACTAGTTGGGACAATACAAAAAACTAAGTGTCAAATAACTCAATCATAATATACTTTATTAAAATAGACTTTTTCAAGGACTTCTAAATCTTAAAATGTTAAAATGTTTCACACTTAGGTCCTGCTTGGTCCATTACCGGCTGGATTCTTAAGAGCTGATGGAGCAACTGATACTTTAGATGCAGATTATCAAGCTGCACTAGCCTTGCAACAACAACTATGTGGAGCAACGGTATATATTTATATTTAATGATTAATTATTAATATTTCTATATATAGCAACATTACTAATTATTTGATATTTATAAAATCTTAGATGCCACCAGCTGGTCCACCCCTCACAGCAAGACTTAGCATTACAATTGCACAAGCAAAACTGGTTAAAAATTATGGTGAGTCATTATGTCTTCTGCAATTTTAATAAACAATTCTTCTAATATAATTCTTTCTTAGATTTATACGAATATAATATGACATTTGAAATGTGACATTTTAAATAAATATTTTTTTCTAATTTTTTTATGGATATTTTTTGATTTTTGTATAAAACTATCTATGAGAGACTATGGTTTTAGATGTCTTCAAATTTGTTATATAGTTGTTACAGATAGCACCTAAATTCCACAATGATTTTCAAAGAATACCAAAATCACACCAAAATACCTAACAAATTATGAACAATACTGAATGTTATTGACTTCACCTAATCACAAAATAATATCTTTACGAGTTTATTACCTTTAAAGTTTGTGGATAATGAACTACAAAGTATAACAGAAGTATATTTTTATTCTTGTTCAATTATAAATACAACTCAATTTTTTGTATTTTTGTTAAATTTTGAAATTTAAAGCTAATATTATAATTCATTTGTCATACTATTAAATTTTATCTATACATATAATAAAATGATTTGAATCTGTATATTAAATATTTTTCGGATAATCTTATTGAAGTAGTCATTATTATTGATACAGAGACCGAATCTATGTCTTTTTAACATCCCGCTGCTGGGCATGGGCCTCCCTTCAATAAGAGGGGCATTAGGCCAGAATCCACCACTTCATTTATGTCTTCATGTGTCTTTATAAAACTTGATAGGTTCTCTCAAACATGCAGATTTTTCCACACTGTTTTCCTTCACTGTAAGGCAAGTGCTAATCATGTAAGATATGATTCGCACATGAGAATATCAGAGGTGCGAGTCGCCGACGATATTTTAAGATATTAATATCCAATAGGTAAATTTGTATTTTACGTATCGAAATATATTAGATTTGCTTTGCATCGGCTGGCACCGACTTCGAAAATATCTGATTAGGTATCTATTCTAAATGAAAACCCCCGTTTAGTTATTTTTTACATTTTAGTGCCTGGTAGTCGGTTTTGTTTTATTTATTTTTTTAAGTTTTATAAATAACTTTTAATAACACTTGTTGGGGACCAGTTGATAACAAGTTGAATATTTTATAATTCCATATGAAACTCGATCTCGTATTGATCGAGTTTATATTGATTGTTCCTAAATAATAAATATACTGTATGATGTATTTTAATTACTCATATACAGATAACTAGTTAGCGAGTGGCAATTTGTACGTTAGAATTATTAATATATGTTTATAACGTTTGACATAAATATGAGTAAATAAATATGTTGGGACATTAACATACAGCACCATCTAGTTCCATGATAAGCACAAAGCTTGTGTTATGTATACCAGATAGTTGATACAGTACACATATATAACTTTAAATACATACATACATATTATAAATATAAACGCCCATGACTGGAGTATATATATAAACATTTGTATTCATCACGCAAATGAATGCCCCCAGCGGGACTCGAATCCGCGACCGCTGGTACAGTTAGTAGGATCACAAACTGAGCCAAACGTGTTGTCAATTAATTATCTGTTTCAAGTTTAATAAGTCCTTTGTAGTTCGTGTTATTTCTAAGTACGGAAAACGAGTCCACAATACAATATCTTTAAGTGAAAATTCCATTATGTTTATCATACCTCGGTGATTTTATTTATTTTTTATATGAGATAAATGAAATAAACTTTATACAATTAGACTTATTACAAATATTTTCTTATATATTTTTCCTACAAATAAATAATTTATCATATAATTTTTCAAAAGTTTACCTTTAGACTTTTCGACGGAAATCGTAACCGATATTACATCGAATAGTCCTATACTGAACTATTTTTTCTTCAAAGAGTATGGTTTTGCTTGTTCATTAGAATAAGTAGTTCTAAATTAGCACTGTTGGGGCCTCGTGTTATTTAATCTTTAAAGTCATCGTAGAAAACGTTCTGTAATTATATGAAGCCATTTGACTGTTTATCTTTACTGTAATTTTATCTAGTAAAGGTGTTTGTTGTACATATGTGTGTATATTAAACGATCAAACGAACTTACCAAGTGAAGTTCGATCATTATTATATTAGTTTTTTCATTCGAAGATATAATTAACCAGGTAGTCCTTTTATCCAACAAGGCAACTTCGCATATTTTAGAGTATCTATTTATCTCCAGATTAATAAAAATAAAAAAGAATTTTAGGGTAGTCGTACCTGCCATATTTACGTCTACCTCCGTAATGCGCTCTGTTCATGTCTCATTCTTTTTATAGTATGTAACGCAGCAAAACTTTAGGGTTATGGGTGGGTGGGTATTTATATCTTCGAATGAAAAAACTAATATAATAATGATCGAACTTCACTTGGTAAGTTCGTTTGATCGTTTATTATATGACGTTTTTTCATTCTTCAGATATAATTAACCAGGTAGATGTTTATAGATAATACTAATAAGTTTTGCTATTATAAAAATAAAACTTATAATGAAATTAGAAATGTTTTATTCAAGTGATTATAATGAATATCATACATGAAATAAGTCTAAGAAAAAAAGACAGACCTCGCAAAGCTGTCCCGTTCCTCTACAGGTCGTTGATAGAATCTAGCAAATGTTTGAGATGTAGCAGTCCAACCGGCTGTCTTACGTATCACGTCAATAGAGACGCCGGAGGAGTGTGCGGCGGAGGTGGCGGCGTGTCGCGTGCTGTGCGCGCTGAACACCGCCACATCCACCCCGCATTCCCCCATTGTCTGTTTTAGCCAGCGACCTATAGTTTGGGCAGTGGCAGCTTTATGAGGTCGTTTGAAAGTAATCAATAAATTTTCTACATTACTAGGTCTTAAATTTATTGTTTTAGCAATATACTCCTGTAATGCTTTAGCTGGGCATATACTTGGATTTTCTAAAAAGAAAGGCAAGCTTAAAATTGGCTGATCTTTACTAGGTCTCGATGTTTTTATAATATCAATTATATTAATTTTTATTACACTCGCAAAACATTTAATATTATTAATTTTTATCAAAGAAAATGTTTGCAACCTATGTGCAGTACACAAAGCTAGGAGCATTACAAGTTTTTTCGTAAGTTTTTCTAAACTAAGTTCAGAATTAGGATACCACGTCTCTAATTTACTTAAAACGACTTGTGGATCCCAAGTGTTTTTATATTTAGGTACACTGGGCCTTAACTTGTACACACCTTTTAATATTCTTGAAATACGATCATCTGTACCTACGTCATGCCCTAGCAGTAAGGACAACGCTGATCGATGAGTACTAATAGATCCATAGGAATCTCCCCGGTTATATTGATGTGATATAACAGCATGAACTGAAGGTTCCAGAGGATTAAACTTATTTAGAATACAAAACTCCCACCAAACTTTAAATGTTACGCTATACTGACGAATCGTATTTGCAGATAGTGAAGCGCAGATTAGATCTAGTGCTTGGTCGGGCACACCACGCCTGGAGAATGCGAGCCGCAAAGTATCGCTGCTCCCAGGGTAGGAGAGAGGCGTTGTCCTTGCTCTTGCGACCTAATATAAAGGCCATTATTAATAATGAAAATATCTGATTCCTTTAATTTTAATAATAAAGGGAACCAAGGCTGTGAAGGCCAATAAGGGAATACTAGAATTCCCCTTGCATTATCAGAAATGATTTTTTCTAAACATTTTAAAACTATTGGAAAAGGTGGAAAAGCATAAAAGAAAAATGGTTTCCAATTAATTGTAAAAGCATCGACATTCACAGCATCTGGATCTGGTTTCCAAGATATATAGCTTTTACACTTGGTATTGGTACGAGAAGCAAATAAGTCTATTTGTGGGTGCCCGAATCTTTCAACTATCTTCTTAAAACAATTACGGCTAAGTTCGAATTCTATATCTTGATTTTGTCTTCTAGACTCTTCGTCTGCTTCTATATTATCCTTAGTATTTATATAAGAGGCAAATAACCACAAATTGCGCTTCTCGCACCATTGCCAAATCAGCCTAGTTAATTTGTTTAAATGCGGATATTGTATTCCGCCAAAGCGATTAATATAACTGAGAGCGGTTGTATTGTCAACACGTAATAATATAGCACAATTAGTCTTAGTTTTAGCAAAACATTTTAAACCAAAGAAGGCCGCCAGCAATTCTAAGTAATTAATATGATATATTTTTTCGCTATCCTTCCAAAGACCGTTTGTTCTTTGACTGTTACAAAAAATGCCCCAGCCAGTTCGAGAAGCATCTGAAAAAATTTCTAAATCAAAATTTTGATTTCTCATGTAATGATCCGTTCGATATATGTTATATTTCCACCATAGTAAGTCTGATAAAATGACTGTAGAAAGTTTAATTTTAGCTTCATAGTCGTGACTATTCTTTAGAGCTAGAAATTTTTGTCTCTCGAATAATTTTGTATACAACCAGCCATATTTAACTGCTGGACAAGCTGCAGTGAGGGTTCCAATAAATTGCGCAAACTCACGAATACTACAATTTGGTAACTGTAAATATTTATCGACTAACTGTGCTATATTATTTCGTTTATCCATAGGCAAAGAGATACGCATATCTATAGTGTTAAATATGAAACCTAAAAATTTACAATTTTGTTTCGGTTCGATACAACTCTTTTCATAGTTTACAACAAAGCCTAAACATTCTAAAACTCGTAATGTTGTCTGTACATTTTTTAAACAATTATCGTAATTACTGCCGATACACAGTATATCATCTAAGTAAATAACGGATATGAATCCTAGATTTCTTAAGTACTTCACTACTTCCTTCATTATTTTTGTAAATATTCTTGGCGCCACAGACAAACCGTAAGGCATACCATTGAATTCATAGGTGAATTGTTTTAAATTAGAATTTTTAAAATTAAATCTTAAAAATTTACGATAATTGTGTGCTACCGGTACTAAAAGATACGATTCTTTTAAGTCTATTGTTGCTAGAAACGCTCCTTCCATTATTAACTTCGTTGCTGTTCTATGGTCTTCCATCTTAAAATGAGATTTATATATATATTTATTAAAAGACTTTAAATTCAAAATAAACCTCTTTTGTCCATTAGGTTTTGGTGCCAAGAATATTTTTGAAATATACTGACCCGAAACTGGAGAACATACAGATATAGCTCCTAAGCTTAGTAATTTGTCAATCTCTAATTGCATACTTTCTTGTTCTGATTTATTTAACGTATATGTTGGAGGGGAACCTTGGAATACCCGACAGGCAAGTGGTATAGAAATCCCTTCGCGAATCCATTTTAAAATGACCGAGTTATCTGTAATCGATAACCAACAATTATAAAATAACTGTAAACGGCCTGCGTGTACCTGTGTTAACGTCGATGCGTCGGAAAGGCACGTTGCCTGTTTGGATGGCTGAAGCGCGCTTGCGACGGCGGTTGTGGTGTGTTCCCCGCCAATGCCCGTCGCGCCGCTGACGTCATCGTCGCCGCCCGCGGTGCTGTACGCCCCCCCCTGTTCGACGGGAACCGGGGAGGGCCTGTCCAGTTTCCCGGCCGCGGTCGTAAAAAGGATGTAGATGGTTTCGTAACAGGAACGTTTTTCTTAATAGAAAGCCCTTGTTTTTCTATAATTTTTGCCGCTTTAATTTTTTCTGATAGGTTGGCACCGAAAAGCGTCTCATCATGATTATTTTCGATAACGTTTAACAAAGATTTGTCCAAACTAGGTGTTAATAATCTAATCCTAGTTTCTGTATTTTGATAGTGTAAATCACATAAAATACGAGATGCATCTGACAATATCTTTATTGACTGTATTTGATCACCACCGGTTAGTAATAACGTCAATGCCCTGTTAATGGCAGTAATACCTATACCTAATTGTTGTTGACAATTTTCTAATTTTTTATCTCGTGTTTTAAGTGATTCAGTAATAGCAGCCGATATTTCAGCGTTTAACGAAGGCGCCTTTAATAATTTACAATTACTTGGTATTATATACGGCTTAAATATAACATCTCGTGTATCCTTTGGTAGGCCCTTACGCAGTAATGGCAGCCACCTTTGCGCTAAGTTACTATGGATTTCCTCTCCATATTGCGGCACCTCATCGACGGCGTCCCCGAGAGCTTGCAAGTATTCGAACGTTAGTTCTGGATGCAATGCAACCTCTGGAGTCCCCATTTCAACCTGGGGAGTATCTACAGCTTCCATCCTAATATCACGTTCCATTATCTCGTCGTCTATTAATACAGCGCGTGGTAAACTACCCTCATTCTGGTTATATTGCGATTGCGTTTCGACATCTGCAATACAAATAAAACATGTTTTAACATGTTTGTTACGTCTTGACATTTGACTCTCGGCCAATATTCAAGAACGTATTCCTTTGTTTAACTCTCGGCTAAACTCAGGAAAAAAAATACATAATATTATGTATGCGTATAAATATATTGACTCGCAGTCACACTTATATTGCGTAACAGTAACCTTACTGTCACTTACCTGAATTTTCATCTGATGACTCAGACTGTATAATTCTACGACGTATACTCCTTCGATTATTTATTTCGTTTAGCTTTCTAATTTTCTCTTTGTAATATTTAAGTTTTTCACCCTTAGTTCTCTTCGGCATTATGAATATGTACTCCTTTACTAGTTTTCTTAAACACTTATTACTGTTAATAGTTGAGCGCGTGCGAACGTTGCCTCGCAAGAAAAAAGAATGAGACATGAACAGAGCGCATTACGGAGGTAGACGTAAATATGGCAGGTACGACTACCCTAAAATTCTTTTTTATTTTTATTAATCTGGAGATAAATAGATACTCTAAAATATGCGAAGTTGCCTTGTTGGATAAAAGGACTACCTGGTTAATTATATCTGAAGAATGAAAAAACGTAATATAAATATATATATATATATATATATATATATATATATATATATATGTGTATATATATATATAGTCAATCTATTCCAAACTAACCGTTAAAATGTACTTAGGGACAAACCCGAGCAAAGCGAGGATGAGTAGCTAGTCTATACATAGGTATAATAAAATTCTAACAGCCAAGAAATAGTCATTATTATCGATACGGAAGCTGAATGTATAGTTTTTAGAATATTTGTCTGTCTGTCTGTCTGTCTGAGAACGCATCACGAGAAAACCACTGGATTGATTTTGATGAAATTTGGTATGATGAGAACTGGTTATCCGGGTCAACATTTAGGATACTTTTTCCAATTAGTAAAAGAAAATTCAGAATCGGACCACTAGTTTCAGAGTTTATCCCCTACATACAAATTTAATTTACCTCTTTATAATATAAGTAGAAAGATGTAAGACTATAGGTTGTAATTGATTAAAATAAGATTTTTTGCACAAACAGGTCTCACCCGTATGGACCCATACGTCCGTGTTAGAGTCGGCCATTGCATATACGAAACGCATACGGACCCCAGCGGCGGGAAGACGCCGAGATGGAACAAAGTTATACATTGGTAAGTACATTATAATGCCACTCCATCTTCTGAGGAAGTAAGAACCTTATGTACAAACGCAGTCTTCATCTTGGAAAAGTTTGTAGGCCCAGATGAAATTATGGAGTGTTACCTCAAAGTAAATCCTGCTGTTTGTTACAGCGGTAAGGTTTAATGGATTAGTATAATATGCGGCGATCACAATAGACAAGAAACGATCGAAGTGAAAGGTACTTATAGCTGCATCAAAGGTATAATTTTTATTTGAAGAAAAAATAATAATTTACTTACATAACATCCAATATACGATTTTTTACACTGTCTCAACACAGCAGAGTTTTTTTTAAATTCTTTTATATGACAAAGACAAAAATACAACACTAATGTACTCATTCGGTGATCACTAACATCTAAACTAGGCCGAGCCTGTATCTTAGGTATTAGTTTCTTCCAGTGAAACAGAATTAATGCACATTTAATATTTTTTTATTATTGGAATAAGATATAATTCCTTCGATCATCCGATTCGTGCAATGAAATCTATTGAAAATTGAAATCGTTTTGGATTTAAGTTAAACAAACAGATCTTTTTCCAGTAGCCAGATATTAATTTATTTATCGACTAAAATAGTAGGAGACTTTTTATTCGAGTGTCTTTTTGTATCGATATTTATGACTTTTTTAATGAATTACTAGCCACTCATCCTCGCTTCGCTCGGGTTCATCCCTAGATAAGTTTTAACGATTAGTATGGAATAGAATAGATAGACTATATATTATATATACATAAAATATATATTATATATAAAAATAAACAGTTCTGAACTTTTCGATTTTCCAGATGGTTTTTTTGGATTTTCCCTATTTTTTATACTTGAACTATCCCTAACATACCCTCAGCAAAACAAAAAAAGAATTATTCAAATCGGTCCAGCCGTTTTTGAGTTTTAGCGAGACTAACAAACGGCAATTGATTTTTATATACATATATAGATTTATACTTCAAGGGCGACGTGAATTTTGTGAGGAAAAGTTGGTGGATTTTTCTAAATAAAAGTATGCTATTTTCGTATGGTTTCGCGCATTTATTTTATTTTTTGTTCTCGATGTTTCGAATGTTTTAAAGCAATTATGTTCACGGGAGATACTCACTTAAAATGTCAAATATTCGCGTAAATCTAAAAAAGTTGGTAGAACATTTAATTTGTATATTGGCGAATATTTTACAACCTTAACCTGTTTTGGCATTCAATTTGAATATTTATTTATCTTCATTCTATATAAGGTTCTTCGAATTCTCAGCCTTCCGTCTTTATATGAGATACTAGTGACCCACCGTCGCTTCGCTCTGGTTCGTGCCTAGGTTGCTTCCCCATAAAAACTTTCATCCGCATTTTCACCCCCTTAAGGGATGATTTCTGGGATTAAAACTATTCTATGTTCTTTCCAAGATCTCAAACTATCTTCTTACCAAATTTCATCTGAATCGGTTCAGTAGTTTCGAAGCTTATTCGGTACAAACAAACAAATCTTTCCTCTTTATAATATTAGTATAGATAACCTACTAAATCTGTTATATCTGTATTTACATATATTTTTAAATACATAAATCAAATTGCATCATAATAAATTTCCAGTATAATATGTAACCAAAATTCTTTAAAAATTACTCTACAGTTAATAGAAATATGTAGAATTGAATATATAATAAGGAGAAATGTATTAAAGTGGTATTTTTATGTTTCTAGGGCATTTTACAATTTACATATAAAATGCCTCATTAAGTTCTTGTATTTCATAAATATTTGTGAATATGAGACGATTGAGTACTCTATTTTTAACCGACTGCTAAAAAAGATGTTATTTCAATTTGTTAGTGTCATACATCCGGTGATAAAGCACAATTCTTGGCTCTTGTATATGTATTTATCTGTCTGCTTTAAAGGTATAAAATAAGCCTTAAAAGTTTAACACGCCATTACAACGTCTCGTATTTGTATGTTCTTCTAATGTGACGCTGTAGAAAGCATTACTTTCTATGCCAGAGGTCATAGGTGCGATTAATGCAATGATTCCCGTTTGCTTGCATTAACTTTTAATATACCTATTTGCCCGGAGCTATTTAAGATTATGAAAGGAATAAAAAAAATTGTTGTCAATAGAGTAGATATCGGTAGCTGATAGTGTACTCGTAGTAGGTACTCTTATTAGACGTCTTGGCTTTCAGTCTTTTTAGTAACAGATTTAGAGTAAAGCGTGATATAGTTTATTTTGTTATTCTTTCTTGTATTGTATAAGCCAAATTAAATTTTAGTATACACTCAAGTGTCAAAGATTGGTCATTTTCTATAATAATAAAATTTCATAAAATAATCTGAGACGTAGTTTGTAGCGAAATAACTGGCTATATGCCATATGTTAGCCTTTTGTAAAAAACGGTTTAGCGAAAGTTATGCTATATATATATGTCGTGTTATCCATATACTACGAACATCATCTTTGGTGGTTACTCATCTTGTGGGCGTTATCAGGGCTCAAATAATAAAGTATTCAGTGCTCAATACACAATTTAATCAGGGAAGTCACAATGTTATAAACTTGAAACGGTAATTCTAATTATTTAGAGCTAGCGGGTTCACAGTCACCGATCATCGACTTCCAACTACAATATCAAAGCAAAACTCTATGCTACACCAGGATCAACCGTCTTTACTAAACCACGTATCTGCAAAGAATGTCGTGATGGCGTCTCGACCCCGCTCGAGACAATCTCTGCTCTAAATTCAAAATCAATTTAAAGGCAATAAAAAGTAAATTATCATTAATTTACTTTAAACAATAATAAGGTTTCATAGCAGAAAATGGTAACTAAATCCTCCTCCGTCTTATATATATAGTATTGCTCAGTAGAAACATGTGTCTAAAACAGCGTTCATACTGGTTTTTGGTTGAAATATTATATGACCATCTTACTTTGTTTAATCTTTTTATACTTCACGGGATAAGTTTATTTTAACAAAACCGGATTTTGAGCATTTTTTTTTAAATCGCCTGCTTTATTTAAGTTCTTGGGGGCGTTAACCTAAAATTATTTTCAGTGAGTTCGAAGACCGGTACTTTTCGGGATCCAACGTATTGCATGTACAATATATATGATATTCTTATTCGCGTATCTTCCAGTGATAACAAGTATTTTTGTTACTTTTTAATGTAAATATAACACAAAAAAAATTAACAGATTGAAATAACTACATTGTTTTACACTAATATTAGTATCCATTATTCTTTACCTATAGATATAAAACTATCGACTCACGTTTCGCTCGGGTTCGCCTCTAAAAAAACAAATATATTCCACGGGAACCGTACATTTTCCCGGGATATAAAGTTACGTATTATATCATACCATAATCTATCTCTGTGGCAAATTTCATCCGGATCGTTCAGCCGTTATGGCATGATTGAGTAACAAACATCCAAACATCTAAACTTTCACATTTATAATATTATGAGATTCTGTTGTATTTGCTATTTTATGTGATAACATCTCTCGTTTCTGCAATAAATGCCACAATTCCTATATGGAGCTCATGTTTTTCAACGTAGTTTAGTTAATCTAGGTCCGGTGAAATTCCGCTGTATATTGTCCAATTTTGATAAATAAGATTGAACACAAATTTTTAGTTGAAGGCCTCATTACCTACGACTAATGATGGTGGTATGAAAAAAAACCAAGTACATCTAAAGTTGTATTCTTCCAACCTACATGCTAATATTTCAAAAGTAAAGACATACTTTGAACACTTATTCTACCCATAGTTTTAGTTATTTTTCTGTAATTTTAAACGGAAACAACCTTCCAGAATTAAAAATTTCACAATTTATTATGTTGCATAATCGGTGAAGAATGAATGTGTTGCGTCATAACATACCTACAAAAAAAAAATATACTGTTTAGGTCTTCCTAATTTTTTTAAATCGGTAAATAGATGGCTTCTCTCTACAAGATATTTGTTTCTAGTCTGCTGCCCCCCGGCGTTAACTCCATTTACTTGGAAATCTTCGACGAATGCTCGTTCACGATGGATGAACTCATCGCTTGGACGCACATCACTATACCGCAGGCTGTCTTAAATGTAAGTGTTAGTTGTTATATGTTTGTGCATATTGTATAAAGAAATGTCCTATTTTTAGGGTTCCGTAGTTAAAAGATAAAAACGTAGTTGTAATATTTTTTTCATGTCCATTTATCGATTACAATTAAACAAATTATAACAATAAAATATAAGTGGTACTCGATACTTGTAACAGAGGGGTGAAAAACAATGATGGGTCCACATAATTATTATAGCATATTGAGCGAATATGTCTTTAAAGTTGAGCTTTGATGAATGTTACAAAAATTACTTAAGAAGCATTTTTTTTTATGAAAGCAAATAGTTTCGGAGTTATATTTTTTTAATTTTTTTTTGTATTAGGGATTAGGGAAACTGTTCAATAAAATATACGAAAAATCAAATTTACTTTCTGATTTTATATTTGGTACAATGATTTAGATTAAGGTCTACACGACTCCAACAGTCATTCCGTCAATAGTTAACTTCATAACTTTTATTATAAAACTGTTTGGTCTGTCATATTTTTTTTTTATGAAAAACTATCAACTTTTTCTCGAATCGCAACTTATAATATTGTTAACCTTTTGGAAAATTTTGCTACTAACTCGAACTTCGTGTTCCTCCAATTTCATCGAAATCCTTCCAGCCGTTTTAGCACGAAGGAGTAACATACATACACACGTACAAACGTTGCATTTATAATAGTAGTGTATACGTAAAATAAAATTGTAACTAAGCCGAATCTGTACATTAAATATTTTTGAAACTATAGTTTTTAGAATTTTTGTTTCTGTCTGTGACCACATCACGAGAATACCACTGAACAGATTTCGATGAACTTTGGTATGATGATAGCTGGTTATCCGTGTCATATAAAATACTTTTTACTGCGGGAAAATATCTCATCTCTGCGAAATCTTAAAACGTAACTAAGGACGAACCCGGGCAGAGCAAGGGTTAGTCGCTAGTTATACATATAATAACTTGATTTGTTTTCAGGGAGAGACTCACGAAGACTGGTATCCCCTGAACGGTAAACAAGGTGATGGTATGGAGGGCATGATCAATCTGGTACTCAGCTATTCGGTGAGTTGTAACAAATACCTATAAAACTCCTTAGATTTTATAAAATATAAGAATATTCCTTACCGTTATAGGTTCTGGAGATTAAAATGCTTAAACCCGTATAATTAATTGCAACCAACAATGATATATGTGTTGTCACTGACATATTTTGTACTGCAAATGTCTGTTACAACTACGTGGATTAGTTAATATGTATAATTGTCATTACGGCTATAATTTATGTATTGTTCATACAATATATTTGCTTCGTTCTAATTAAGACAGGTTATGTAAAATTTTGTCGATGGATGGTCATACTAACATCAATTTAAGCGAACTAGTTAGATGACACTGCTTAAGAATATGGACGAATAAAAAGCCTGACAAAATGGGTTTAAAATCTAAACCATCCATTTCCACCAGGTGGGTCCAGCAGCGGTACCAACCTTCCCCCCAGTACTGATGGTCCCCAGTACTGGCATGGGTTACGCGGCTATGCCGATGTACCCCGCACCCCAGCAGGTGTCGCCACAGTACCAGCAGCAGCAGCAGCAGCAGCAACAGCAGCAGCCGCCCGTCACTGCGGAACAGCTCCAACAGGTGATATCCTTATATGTTTAGATATGAACACTTTTTTTATGTTGGGAAATGCATTTACACATAACACCTGCATACAACAGGTGGTTATGTGGGACTCGCCGGCCTAAGAGAAACTAGTATTATTACCCACTAAAACCAAAAAAACCTAAACTTGACATCACAAAAAATATTTTTTTTGCATTTATAAACTTATTTTAATGTTTGTTGCTACGGAAGCCTCATTGTGGGAGTCAGACTCGCACTTGTGTAGGGTGGACTCAATATTCTGCACTTGAAGTCTAGGTTGGTCTAGACTCGCACTTGTTCAATTTTATATTAAGGCAGATTTTTAACTTACCAATTTCCTTTTTCAGATCGAAGAAATGTTCCCGAGCATCGACAAAGAAGTGATAAAATCAGTGTTGGAAGCGAACAATGGGAACAAAGATGCTACTATAAATTCCCTATTGCAAATGTCTGAATAATCCAAATTCTTACTTATAAAACATATATTTTACATTACTCGGAATATATATAAAAAATAACATTCAATATATTACTATATAATGGCCGAAATATAAATAAGAATTATAACCAAATTAAAACAGATTAAATATATTCGGCTAATTTAATATTTATTATGGGCAACACCCAAATATTATCTGTGATTAAAAAATGTTGCACTATTTAAAAAATTATAATTTCACAATGTTAATGAAAGCTTTTGTATCGACACTAATGTCTATTTAAAGTTAATTTGTCTCACCATTATTTATGTTGCCACATATAATGATAAAAATTGAGGATTTATCTTGGCAACAGACGTCTTAATCAGTACCATACATGTGCAGATTAAGAAAGCCGGATTGACGAAAGATATAATAGACTTAGTACTCTAGAAAAAAGGTTCTCTAACCCCATAGTTCAAGCCTGTAGTTCATACACTGCTAAACCAATCAGATCGTTAGGTCGAATTTGGGAGCCGAGGCAGTTGGCCTCCCTGGGTGAAATGAAGGAGCCTGAGGGACCGTGACCCACCCTGATATCTCATTCTTTACCCGAGCATGGAGTCGTTTCACTGCGGACCGATACCGGATTAACGCAATGGTTAAGACACCAATTGTAATCAGTACGCCGACTAGTATCCACCAGGTATAATGGTGAGGCGGAGTCCAGGGCGCCAATCTCAACTGAGGAATCTCTGATTCGTCAACCCATCCCTCTACGGACAAATCTCCTATGTGCTCTCTCTGTATGGGGAGAGTCAGGTTCACTACTATTTCATATCCGGTGGTCAATGTCTCCTGAGACAGTTGATATATTTGACCATCTATATGAAGGTAATCTCCATCCTCTGAGGTGAGGACTGTAGGGATAGGACTTGGGTCCATGTTCTTATGAACTATCAGTTCTTTCCCTTGGGATATCATAATCTCTCCCTTAAGATTTGATGCGCTAATGAGAACCCCTCCGTCAAACGGTACAACTTCGGGTTTCGATTCTGTAGACAGCTTCCATTCACAGCTAGTAGATGGACTCTTCTTGTTTTCCATGATATTTTTGATGCAGCTGTTAAACTCAATCCTGGTGGTTTTAGGGCACAATGTCAATGTGAGCATCTCCTTACAGGCTGTCGGAGAGATAATCCAACAGTCCTGGCGGTTCTTACATGCCACAACATCGGGTAATTTAAGCTTTCTATATCCGCCATCGATTGCTGCATGTGTAGTATGAATTCTCATTAGTGCAGCAGATCGGTCCATCAAAATTCTTGGGAATATCATGACACCTGATACCATTGGATATGGGTCATAATTGACCTGGTGCAGTGAAAATTTTCCTAGTTCATACAATAGTGTCATGTCCTTCGAGTAGGCCGTAGACACCATAGCAGGGTGTTTTAACAAAACAGATAAAACATCTGTTGCAGGGAGGAGATCTGGGGTGATCTTTCCAGATAGTGCACTATCGACAACTCGCGCAAAATCATTCGGTGCTAGCGACAACCAAGTAGAATATACTTCTCTAAAATAATTTGTCAATAGCTCCGTGCAAGTCGTTCTCTCCATGAATTCTCGAAGGATCCTTGCCTGTCTATCAACTGAGTGATGGATAGCATGTTGATTATCCACCAACGTATTTATACTACTGACTACAATCTGGCTGTGCCTCCTCATCTCAGAGATTTGATTGTCTAGAGAAGCGACGGTGTCTTTGAGAGACCAAATGGAAGCACGATTCCATGCTGCAGCCCCACCTAGTAATATTGCCTCTATAAATCTTTTCGATCGGCTCTTGTGATTCTGGGGGATCAAGGTTCCAATTTTTTCTTTTAGGAGCTGAACGATTAAATTCTGATGCTCCCAATTAGCCGTGGTATTACATGTCTCCCCTTTACCAACTAAGCCAGACTCTGCGAGATGTGACATGTGGTATATTATTGGAACATATATATATCCGGAATATTCCATATAAGATCCCGTCTGCTCCATAACAATACCCAATTCAGGAGCTATAACCCCTGATTCAAGCACCCTAATTTTGAATTTCGACAGTGACGTATTTGTTGTATTAATCGAGGCATCATCTTCGAGTTCTGTTAGGACTCGATAACTGCGGGTATTATTGTTCTTCGACAATGATCTTTTAGATCTCGTATGGGTGTTATGGGTTGTGCCTTCATCTCTCTCGTGTTCTTCTCAAATATAATTGCTTCTGAGACTACCTTTGTTCTTATTCTTGTTCTTATTTTTATTTTTATTCGTCTTCAATCTGTAGCCGTGCAAGTGATATCCCGAGTGAGCATTGGGCACAATTCTCATGGTCGCAGGAAATGGACTAAAACCAGGTATAGATGTGGTTGTGTCAATCCTGCTCAGGTTGCGCAGCATATCATCTACTTGAAATGATAGATTCATCGCGCGTTCCCCTATCACGTTGAGATGCTCTGATATTAAAATTCTCTCTCCCGAGATGTTGTTGGCTGCCTGTTCTATTCGAAGTTTTGCTGTCTCAAGCTCTGAGGCTTGCCTGGTCAGAACCCCTACCCCTCCCCCAACCAAAGTCCCAACAAAGAACGTACATAACCCGTAAGCAATTATTGCTCCTGTAATAACAACCATTTTTGCTTATAAGAATTATTAATCTAAAATTGTAAATTATAAAATACTTATATAAATTAAATGAATCAATGTATATATATTAAGATGCAATTTTAGTATCAGAAATATGTTTTTTTTATAAATGAAATTGCACTTCAAACCTCTTAATATTGCCTTTTTTTATAGCGCGTCTGCCATCTTTAAAGAGTGAAAATTAGATACTAAAATTGGTGTTTTCAAGTTTTAATTACAATAAAGCAAATTTATATAAACAATATCGCTATTAATTATATCAGTAAATACATAGATTTTTTAAATAAAAAATGAATATTTATTATTTACTTTATTATATTTTATTGCAAGAGAATTATGTACCGTGATGTTTTTGGTATAAACCAAATTTTCATTTGACCATCTATATGAAGGTAATCTCCATCCTCTGAGGTGAGGACTGTAGGGATAGGACTTGGGTCCATGTTCTTATGAACTATCAGTTCTTTCCCTTGGGATATCATAATCTCTCCCTTAAGATTTGATGCGCTAATGAGAACCCCTCCGTCAAACGGTACAACTTCGGGTTTCGATTCTGTAGACAGCTTCCATTCACAGCTAGTAGATGGACTCTTCTTGTTTTCCATGATATTTTTGATGCAGCTGTTAAACTCAATCCTGGTGGTTTTAGGGCACAATGTCAATGTGAGCATCTCCTTACAGGCTGTCGGAGAGATAATCCAACAGTCCTGGCGGTTCTTACATGCCACAACATCGGGTAATTTAAGCTTTCTATATCCGCCATCGATTGCTGCATGTGTAGTATGAATTCTCATTAGTGCAGCAGATCGGTCCATCAAAATTCTTGGGAATATCATGACACCTGATACCATTGGATATGGGTCATAATTGACCTGGTGCAGTGAAAATTTTCCTAGTTCATACAATAGTGTCATGTCCTTCGAGTAGGCCGTAGACACCATAGCAGGGTGTTTTAACAAAACAGATAAAACATCTGTTGCAGGGAGGAGATCTGGGGTGATCTTTCCAGATAGTGCACTATCGACAACTCGCGCAAAATCATTCGGTGCTAGCGACAACCAAGTAGAATATACTTCTCTAAAATAATTTGTCAATAGCTCCGTGCAAGTCGTTCTCTCCATGAATTCTCGAAGGATCCTTGCCTGTCTATCAACTGAGTGATGGATAGCATGTTGATTATCCACCAACGTATTTATACTACTGACTACAATCTGGCTGTGCCTCCTCATCTCAGAGATTTGATTGTCTAGAGAAGCGACGGTGTCTTTGAGAGACCAAATGGAAGCACGATTCCATGCTGCAGCCCCACCTAGTAATATTGCCTCTATAAATCTTTTCGATCGGTTCTTGTGATTCTGGGGGATCAAGGTTCCAATTTTTTCTTTTAGGAGCTGAACGATTAAATTCTGATGCTCCCAATTAGCCGTGGTATTACATGTCTCCCCTTTACCAACTAAGCCAGACTCTGCGAGATGTGACATGTGGTATATTATTGGAACATATATATATCCGGAATATTCCATATAAGATCCCGTCTGCTCCATAACAATACCCAATTCAGGAGCTATAACCCCTGATTCAAGCACCCTAATTTTGAATTTCGACAGTGACGTATTTGTTGTATTAATCGAGGCATCATCTTCGAGTTCTGTTAGGACTCGATAACTGCGGGTATTATTGTTCTTCGACAATGATCTTTTAGATCTCGTATGGGTGTTATGGGTTGTGCCTTCATCTCTCTCGTGTTCTTCTCGGATATAATTGCTTCTGAGACTACCTTTGTTCTTATTCTTGTTCTTATTTTTATTTTTATTCGTCTTCAATCTGTAGCCGTGCAAGTGATATCCCGAGTGAGCATTGGGCACAATTCTCATGGTCGCAGGAAATGGACTAAAACCAGGTATAGATGTGGTTGTGTCAATCCTGCTCAGGTTGCGCTGCATATCATCTACTTGAAATGATAGATTCATCGCGCGTTCCCCTATCACGTTGAGATGCTCTGATATTAAAATTCTCTCTCCCGAGATGTTGTTGGCTGCCTGTTCTATTCGAAGTTTTGCTGTCTCAAGCTCTGAGGCTTGCCTGGTCAGAACCCCTACCCCTACCCCAACCAAAGTCCCAACAAAGAACGTACATAACCCGTAAGCAATTATTGCTCCTGTAATAACAACCATTTTTGCTTATAAGAATTATTAATCTAAAATTGTAAATTATAAAATACTTATATAAATTAAATGAATCAATGTATTTATTTATTTTATTTATTTATTAATCCTTTATTACACCAAAAATAAAAATACAATATACAAGAATATATAACTTAACTAATATTAGTGTAAAGGCGGCCTTATCACTAAAGTGATCTCTTCCAGGCAACCTATATTATAAAGAAACTCATAGGGTGACATGGATTATGGTTGGTGCAAAAAAAAAAAAAGAACTAGTCTATAATAAACTTACTTAAACGGTACATACTATAAAGTACACACAAGCTTACATAAATATCGATAAGGACATACATAAATATATATTATAATATATAAGTATAAACAATAAACATATATATTCTACAATAAACTTACATAAACAGGGCTTACATAAATATACATAGACTTATAGCGACAAATAGTAGTGTTTAAGACGACGTTTGAATACTTGCACCGATTCCGACTGGCGAATGTCCTGTGGTAAGGCATTCCATAATATTGCAGCTTTTACTGTATACGAGTCGCCATAGCTTTGGGTGCGACTGACGGGCAATGCTAATTTGTTGTCGGTTTGCGAGCGAAGGTTTAGGGAATGGATAGAACCAAGGAAATTGAACCTTGTTTTAAGATAAGGAGGAGTGTGGGAGTGAAAGAGGATAGTGTATAGGAGAGTAAGGATATGCAAGTTCCGTCGCTGCTTAACGGTGAGCCATTTAAGTTGAGCTCGATATTGAGAAATGTGGTCAAATTTTCTTAAGCCATAGATAAATCGGATTGCCATATTTTGCAAACGTTCCAGTTTATTGAGTTGAATCTGCGACAAGTCGGGATAGCATGTATCGGCATAATCAAGTATAGGAAGGAGAAGGGATTGTGCTAGGGATACTTTAGTTTTTATTGGCAAAAATTTCTTCCACCTCCTCAACCGACCAATTACAGCGAAAAACTTTCTGCTTACCTCCGAAATCTGAGGCACCCAAGATAAGGAATTGTCCATTATAAGGCCTAAATTTTTAACCGAGCTGCGAATTTGCAGTCTAGTCCCGTCGAATAAAATAGGTGAAAGGGATGACATATTAATTTTGGATACTAGCTGACGAGAACCAAATAGGGATACCTGCGACTTACTCGCGTTTAGAAATAACCCAAACGATTTACTCCATGTACTTACAGTATTGAGATTAGTATTGAGGTTGGCTATGGCATCGTGAAGACCATCTATGGGTGTTGTTACATAAATTTGCAGGTCATCAGCATAAAGGTGAAAAGGTAAGGAGAGAAGCTCAGTTATGGAGTTGATGAAGATAGAAAAAAGGAGAGGAGAAAGGACACCGCCTTGAGGGACACCCGCTTTAAGGTAACAGAAAGATGAGTGCTTGTCCTCGACACGAATGCATTGCTTGCGATCAAAGAGATATGAACGGAACCAGTCAACAGCACCCAATGAAATATTCATTGACTCAAGGATTGCTAAGAGGATGTCGAAGTCTACAGTATTAAAAGCATTTGAGAAGTCTAATAAAGCAGTTATGCTAACTTGCTGATTGTCAATCCCATTCCTTATGTCATCGCAGATTTTAATCAGAGCAGTGGTCGTGCTATGTCCAGGTCGAAATCTTGTATATATATTAAGATGCAATTTTAGTATCAGAAATATGTTTTTTTTATAAATGAAATTGCACTTCAAACCTCTTAATATTGCCTTTTTTTATAGCGCGTCTGCCATCTTTAAAGAGTGAAAATTAGATACTAAAATTGGTGTTTTCAAGTTTTAATTACAATAAAGCAAATTTATATAAACAATATCGCTATTAATTATATCAGTAAATACATAGATTTTTTAAATAAAAAATGAATATTTATTATTTACTTTATTATATTTTATTGCAAGAGAATTATGTACCGTGATGTTTTTGGTATAAACCAAATTTTCACGATGTTTTTTTTATGTGTAAGGTCAATAGATATAAGATGTTCGTATATTTTCGTGAAAAAGCGCGTTAATTATGTTTAAAGTGTTTTCGAAGTCGTAATTTTTTAGTTGAAAAGTTCTCTTAGTTTTCACTAAAAAAAATGAAAATAGTTTTTCATATAATTAGCATTCACTTTTAATATTAATATGATAAATAAATAAAACTGAATACAAATTCTCCAATCTGATACAATTCCATATAATCAACTTCTTTATTTCATATAAATTATAATATAATAATTATGCAGCCTTAGATTTTGCAGGGTAGGGTTTAGAAATCACATTAATGTTAAATGAACTGAACACAATAGCACAGCATTTATAAATATTGTATTACAAAGGTTTTAATTTTTCTTTAATTCCTCCATCTTAAATGTAAAGCTTAGTTCACATTTATGATTAAAAAATCATTGATATACAAAAACATAGATACACGTTTTCTAACAAATATTTCTTCAAAAAGTGGCGTCGACATACGTAAAGTTAAACCAAAGAATAAAATTCACAATTCGAAAGTTGTAATTGTCTAAATACAAATTCTAACTTACGCACACCACTTAAGTACTTAGTAATTTTTTAAACGAAACAACTTGCGTTTTCAATTGTCATCCGGATTTAGCAGTTCAATATAGAATTGTGCACTTCTTTTCGAGGACACTTTTGAGACGCTAATTGTGTATCTTGAATTTTTGTATATCAATGTTACAAGCCAGCAATACTGAATTAAATATGTGAAATTGTGAACTCCTTCGTGTCTTCTCCATTATAAGTGACATTGGCGAAGTAATCTCTCAAGTAAGCTCAACTAGCACTCTTTGAATTCATTAACAATAAAATTGAATTAAAACATGTGAACACACCTTTATCCCGATTATAGTATTACACTAATAGTTAGCTCGTTTAATGCAAAAGCCTTAAGTACATTAGATATTCAAATTCACCTTTATTAAAATTTGTACACATCGAAATAGTTTTACAATTACCACAAAAATGATTGATTTCTTTGAAAGACTTGTATTGGAATATGATTTTGATAACAGAATTAGGTTTTATTTATTCTAAAACTGCCCTAAAATATAAGTTATTAATTAATAATTTTTTTTTAGATTAAGCATGAGATTATGAAATCGTGGATTTAGCACTAATGTTTAATGTATTTTGATATTACGGTCAAAATCAATCAATTTTAAATATTTGTTAAATAAATTTTAGTAGTTTTTTATAAAATAAACTTTATATATAAATATAAAGTTTATGAGAATAGTTATTTTTTAAACTATGGAATTTATTGTGCCTATGACAAATAATTATTAATTTTTGACAACATAACTATGTATTTTTTTTATTTGAGTTGTTATGATTATTATTCAGCTTGTATTTTTATATTATAATTAATTATCTACAAAATGTAACTTATCTTCTTTGTGCTACTTATGGGGGCTTTCTGGTCTGTGGTGCTGTCTATTCTAATAGGGAATATGCATATTTTTTGTTTTTTTTTTAGTATACATCGTTAAGTAATTACTGTAAAAAAATATCCAGCTCCAAAAAACTAAAATTTAGTATTTTTTTTAAATATCGTACCGATACGAATACTTTAGACGCCCGCCATTTCGCGTGCTTAACGTGACGCAAAATCGAAGACGTTGAAATAATTACTAAAAAGTGCAAATATAAATTGTAAATTCAAAGTACTTGAAACAATGCTATTGGTTGGTGGCGATTTTGTCGCTAAAAATTGCTTAAACAAAAGTCGTCATTTTTAAGTGAGAAAATCGCTAAATTGGCAACACTTGTTCTGTTATTATAAAATTTGACGTCACTATCGGTCTGACCAATGACATTGTGTTACGACTACTTTCAATTTCCCACCTATATTTGCACTTTTTATTAACTGTTTTAATAATCAAAAAGAAATTACATTAAAAATATTGATATGGGCCTAATTTAAAAGCAATAAAGATTATGAAAAAAAAATCACCTTTATTTAAAACACACGTATATTCTCTATTCTATCATTAGAAAGGGATAGATCAGGTATTAGTCCTTGAGAAGTATATATGAAGAAAGCTTCACCGCTAATTCGTGCCAAATCATTTGCCATCAACGATTTGCTTGTTTATAACCATCGTTGTATTTATTTAATTATACAATGTATAAATAAATTATTGTTTATCCGATATTTTTGTTTTATTTTAATAATGCTAAATCGACACATAATAATATACGTAATATATAAAAAATATAGATAGACATTATTCATTAATGTGTAAAAAATAATATTAATATTAATGCATAGTAATGCCTTGTTTTATTTATTTTAACGCGCTAATTTCTCGAACATAAGATTTAAAAAAAAAAACATTTTATAGCCTACTAGCGACTCACCTCGCTCGGGTGCGTCTTTTGGCTAGTTTTTTTCGATTTTAATAAAGCACATTTTTATCGGAAAAAAATAGCTTATACGACATGGTGGCTTTCTTCATTCAATTTCGTTTTCTATTAGTGAAAGAAATTCAAAATCAGATCAGCACTTTCAAAGATTACATATATTACATACAAACTACTTTTTTATATTATTAGCTAACTTGAATAATGACTGAATGAATGACTTGAATAATTTTATCTTATCACGCTACCACCCTTTAGAGTAATAAAGTTAAAAAAAAAACTACACTAGCAACGAGGATAAATGAAAAAAAATATTATTAAATATTATATATTTTATAAAGCAACAGGTTTCTTCTTTTTCTTCTTAGTCTCTTTCTCTAAACTCTTCTGTTTTAAATTTTCTGCTTTTCGTTTAATTTTGCTTACTTTCCCTATAACATCTTTGAACCTGTCATCCTTTTTCATCAAACTCTTATTGACTTTCTTAAGGCCATCTTTGATAGTATCATCGATATTCTCCATCTCGCTCTGTCGTATGCGAGTCGTATCTTCCTCTCCCGCTTCGTCTTTGATTTGGGCTTGAATTTGTTTGATTTTGGCCAACTTTGCCTTTTTAGCCGCTTTTCTTCGTTTTCTATGCATTTCTTCCAGTCTAGAAGAAAAAAGAAAATAATATAGCATTCAATTTTAAAACAGAATTTTATATATGAAAAAAATATCTCCATAATAGTAATCCTATAAACTATATGGTCTATATAAAAAAATGAAACATTGTGCACTCATATAGCAATTTAAGCTTAGAATCAAAGACATTATTGGTACATTTTAAGTTTTAATATTTACAAAAAAAAATAGAGTATACTAATATGTAAAACCTAAGAATTTGGTTTTTGATCATCTGAACGCGGGCGGAGCCGCGGGCAATTTGTAGAGATTCCAAAATATCAGGGAAAAAATACAACATAAAACCGCGGCAAAATCTGAAAAGATGGTTTCATTTGAAAATCATAAATAAGTAAAAAACCCAAACCCACCCTTCTTCCATGGCGTCAGGGTCGACGCCTGCCATGATCCATCTCTTGATCTTGTAGTTCCTCTTACGCTGCTCGAACTCCTCATTATCCAGCTGCGCCTCTTGCTCGCGGCGCGTCACACTCACCGTCGTGAACACTTTCACTGCTTCGTCGTCTGAAATGGACGAATATCATAGCCAATAACAAAAGAAATCTCCGAAGAACAAGCAATTTATTAAAGTTCAATTCAATTAATTTTTTTTTGTTAATGGCAGGGGCGGATCTATGTATATATAGGCCTTTTAAGCTACAGTCCAGGACCCCTAAGATATAACGGGGCCCTAATGGAAAACAATTGATAATATTGTGAATTTATAAAAATAAATAAAAATATTAAGGCCATAAAAGGTAAGAAACCCTGAGATCAATTAAGAGCCAAACAATTAGTTTGGATCCCCAAGCAGTGTCAGCCCAGGGCCCCCCAAATTAACGGTCCGCCCCTGATTAATGGCTCCAAAGTGTGGCAGTTGAGCATAGATTACTATATAAGCCCCAAAAAACAATTCATATATTTACGCTCTATTTCTTAGATTCAGAGAAAACAAACTATGACAGACGAACAGATGAAGTGGCCATGTAAAAGTTTTACCATCATATGTACAGAAATGTAGTAATTAAAATGAAAAAGAAATATAATATCATCCATTCACTGATTGTAAAGTATGGGACTGTTTCGAAACAAATGACCCCAAACTCGAGGGTTTCCTTAGTAACCATTGAAGAGTTTCACGTCCTAGCTCCGTCATCATATCAACTCGATAACATAAAATTATAGTGCTGACTTGTCACAAAGAAGTTGAAAAGCATAACAAGAAGCGTAAATAAAAGCATAGTTTTTTTTGAAGTTATACTTCTTTTGGCACGTTTGGAAAAAAATATGAGCAAAATTTTTACGATGCCTGCGCACACCGATAGCCATAAAGCGACATAATGAAGTTAGCTGCATTCCTTTTACAAACAGAGGGTTGTGAAATACGGGATGAAATCTTTAGCTATTTTTGTTCTGTTACGCCAAAGAAGTATAACTTCTTACGTGCGTACATAAGTACACACATAATTTTTTTTTTAAATAATTTTTTTTTCGCGGTTATATTTACCAAAGACTATAGAGGTGTTATCTTAGCCTCTACCATGACCATATTTGCTGTAAATGTATCGAAATGTCAGGAATCAAAAATAAAAAAGAACGTGAAAATTCCGAAAAAAAAGTGTTAATGATGTGTAATTTCTTCTTCCTTCTTTAATCTTGGCTCTCGCTTTTCTACAATTTGGTCCAACTGAACGCAACTACTCACCATCTATCTTATATTCGTTAAGTTTAGTTTTGATCTGGTCCTCGATTTCCCCGAGCCGCAGTATGTCGTAGGGGGTTATGAGTGATATCGCCATGCCTTCCCGACCGGCTCGAGCAGTTCGCCCCACTCTAGACGATACATAAATACAAAATATTAAAATAAAATCTCTTGTGAATGTGTGTGTGTTTGTAATTCTTCTTCTTGGATTGACCGATTTTGATGATATTTTTTGGGTAATTACGGGGTCACCTCGATGGTTTCAGAATCAGATTTAGAATGTTTTTTTTTTCATTTTCTGTATATATATATATATATTTCTTTTCTTTTCTGCATAGTTTCTTTTGATCTTTTACATTAAAAACATCTCACATTTTTATTATATTAAATAAATGTTTCTTCAAAAAAATCACGAGCCAAAAGACATGTGACATGAAGACCATGTCTTATAGATTTTCCTGTAGTAAAAGGTATCCTGAATGTTGAACCAAGTAATAAGTTAAAAAGTTGAGTTCATTTGTTCATTGTATTTTGCGTGAAAAGCAAACAAATAAATAGACAAACAGACAAAAATTTCAATAACTATTATTTTGGGAGCCTATATTTTATATACATACACGATACGCAAAGTCATTGCTTTTAAAAATTGGTTTTCTGTAAAGTCGGTTTACGGACAATAATTTTACGTGTCATAAGAAAACGTTGATGAAAAATTGCATATTTTTATGAATTGAATTATTATCACTGAATTATCCTTATTATAATTTTTTCCATAAATTAACAAAATTTTTTGCCACTCGTTAATTCAAATATTTTTTTACTTAAATAAAAAAATATCTAATTTAAATTATACAGATTAATTACAAGTACCAATGTGCCGATCGTGCCTCTCTATCGTTCGCCGCGCGCTCTCACTCGCGCGCTCGTCTCGGGCGGAACGTGACACTCTTTCGTGCGTGCAGCCGGCGCTCATCGATTTATAACACGTTCTCACGTCAAAAAATACTTCATGTACAAATTCCTCTTTCTTATTAATTTATTACACACATTTTATAAATTACTAGCGGACCCGACAGACGTTGTCCTGTCTACACGTCTTTAATTTGAAAATTTCAAACTTTTTTTAATATTTTTTTTGATGAAAATTATTATTCAAATTGTGAATCTAAACCATTCCCAGATCCCCTTGAACACACAAAAAATTTCATCAAAATTGGTCCAGTCGTTTAGGAGGAGTTCAGTCACATACACACGCACACAAGAAATATATATATTAAGATATATTTAAATGGATATATTTCATTTTTTACACCCACCTGTGTATATACTCCTTAGGCTCCAAAGGCAATTTATGATTGACAACCAGATCAACTGACGGTATGTCCAATCCTCTTGCCGCTACATTAGTAGCTATGAGTGTACATTTCAGGTTGCTACGGAACTGAGTTAGAGCTGACACACGTTCCTTCTGCCTCATGAAGCCGTGCAAACACACATTGTCCATTCCGATGGCGTTTAACATCATTGAAAGAACTTGACACTCTCTGGAAACAGACATAACTTAGAGTAAAAGATAAATAAGAGTATTTTATAATAGGGACTATGCGTGACTTCATCGTTATATATGTAATTGTAAAAAATGTATCCAGCTCAAAAAAACTAAAATGTAGTATAAAAAAAATTAAAATATCATACCAATACGGATACTTTAAACGCCCGCCATTTCGCGCGCTGGGCGTGAAGTCAAAGTATTAAACATAGAAAAATGATGACTTTAGTTTGTAGTGACAAAATCGCTAGTCCCTAGATGTTGTGATAATTACTTTGACGTCATATTCGGTTTGACCAATGGCGTGCGTTTCAACTATTTTAAATTTCCCACCTATATTGGCACTTTTTAATAATTATTTTCTTAGTCAAAAAGAAATTTCATCAAAAAATATTGATATAGGCTTAATTCAGAAACAACAAAGATTATAAAAAAAATATTTCACCTTTATTTAAATTACACGCATATTCCCTATTCTCTCCCTTTGACCATTATTGCTGTAAAACATTCGAAACGTCGGGAACCCAAAATCCAAATAAATCCACGAAATAATCCGAAAAGATACTTTTATTTAAAATTTCAAACATCAAAATTTCGTAAATCTTAGAAAGTATAAATAAATCGGAGTTTTGGTTTTAAATGAAATTAATACCAACTGAAGCGACAATGAATTTTGTTTATTATTTTTTATCTGCATAAAATTAATCATTTCTCAAACACTCACTTTTTTGTATCAGTGAACACAATTACATGAGAGCTGGGCTTAGTTTCTCTGTACTTCCTTAGTGTTTGTACCAAATATACATCTCTGGCATATGCAGGACATACCACATACCGTTGGTCGAGTGTATTCACTGTTAGTTGTGGATCTGATTCTGACCACGTTATTAATTTCTGTAAAAAATAACGACTTTCTTATTCATTTTCACATACAAAATCAACATATGTGAAAATGATTTAGAACTTTTTAATTTCAAAAAGTTACTACATATTATATGGAGGACAAGACATTAAAAGTATCAATATAAAAAAAAATTTAAAATGAACATACAGTTGATCTCATAATATATTTTTACTCATATTTGAAATACTTGCCATAAAGTCAAAAGTTTTTTTTAAGTTTATATTTAAACTTACATTTTTATTTAAAGGAAGCAACTTAGACTCCTTGACATCTTCACTGATTGTAGCAGAAAATAATAAGTTCTGCCTTTTCTGCGGTAATACTTCAAAAATGGTTTCAAGATCTCCTTGAAAAGATTCACTAAAGAGCCTGTATAAAATTATGGTACACTTAAGTATAAGATACAAGAATTTTTTTTTACCTAACACAGAATAGTTCTGAAAGTAGAGACTTAAAAATAATCTATACAAATAAACAAAATTGAAGTGTCTGTTTCTTATGTCAAAATAACAGCTTTTTACTAAATGTATATACGGAACTAATAAAAAAAAAACAATTTTGTCTGTCTGTCTGTTTGTTCCAGCTGATCTTCCAAACGACTGGATTGATTTTGACTGGACCTTCACTGGCAGAAAGCTGATGTTATAAGGAGTAACATAAACTACTTTTATTTGAGAAAAAGAATTAGGGGTTCCATTCAAAAAAATTAAAACATACCTAGGGATGCACCAGAGCAAAGAGAGGGTAAGCCAGTAGTAAATAATAAAACTCAAAAATAATTTTTATTAACCAAGATATAAACAAAATAAAAAAAATAATCCATAATTGTCATAGTAAAGTTATTTTATTTACCTATCTGCTTCATCCAGCACTAAATATTTAATTTTTTTCAAACTAAAAGTATCACAGCCTGATATATGATCAGCCAACCGACCAGGCATAGCAACCACTACATGTGGTCGTTTTGATAGTTTCAAAGACTCTTCCAACTGATCTGAGCCCCCTGTGACAATGCATACTCTAAGTTGTAATGGCTGACCTAGTATAAGAAATTGGTCAGCAATCTGTAAAAAATTAAAATATTGTGAAGTTTCAGCAACAAAATCACAAGTATTGTATGATATTTTATGCATAGTGACAATTGCTAATGGCATAATAAACAAATTTATTTAAAATGCATCATAATCACCATCTCTTAAACTAAATACAATCATTTTTAAACAAATATAAATCTGTATACATATAATATATGCTACCATTTAATTGTCTACAGAAATAAATAATTATACATTATATATTATTTAAAAATAATATGTTTGTGAGTATGGATATTCGTTACTCTTTCACACCACAATGGCTGAACAGATCTGGATGAAATTTGGCACACTAATAGATTATAGTCTGGAAAGGCACATATTCATTTTTTCTTAGTAAAACTGCAGTTTCTACATTTTAGTAAAACTACCTAATAATTCATTAGTTAATACTTTAATACTTTTAATAGTAGTTTACTGCACTTCCTCACAATTTATTTTTTTATTGGTAAAAATGCTTTTAATGGTTATGAACAGTATAATTCCACCTTGTAGTGGCACACATAGTGTAAATAAACAAATAAAAAATATTACCTGGTAAGCTAATTCATGTGTTGGAGTAAGCACTAAGGCAAATATACCATAAGGATCTTCAGCTAAATTCTGTAGAATGGGCAATGCAAAAGCAAAAGTCTTTCCGGAACCTGTCTTAGCTGCCCCTATACAATCATGACCTTCAAGAATTTTTGATATACATCCTTTCTGAATCGGTGTGGGGTTTTTTATTCCTACAAAACATTAAAACTAAGAAAGTCTTCAAAAAACTATAATATTTATAACCTCTAATATAACATTCTTACCCAGTGTAAATAGTTGTTTTATAAGCCACTCTTTTACACCTAATTCAGCAAACTCTTTTCCTTCGTTTTCATTCATATTTACTTTCACATTTAAGTTTGTAACATTAAAAATATATTTTGAATGTGGCACGTTGTTTTTATTTACCACGACTGACTATTGTTGAATTGACAAATGACAATGGTCAATGAGTAAAGATTGTAAATATAAAATGTCAAAGTCACTGTCATGACATGAATAAGTTCATTCGTTCTTTGAAATATAGTGCGGTGCGTTGACTTTTCTCATAGCAAAAATAATTTATTGCGATTCTGTTAGTAAGTTAATATTGAAAATATTATATCTATTTTGCTTAGAATAATTCAAAATTATATGAAATCTTTGTAATTGAACATAGAAAGCAGTGCCTGTAGATTGGAAAAGTATAACTCTTCTTTTTAATATGAAGCAATAATTCATAGGTATAAATAAAATATTTTACCAATGTATAATTTGTAGTTTGTACGTAATTGAAAGTTTACTTGAAATTAATAAAAACCAATATTATGGTAAATGGACATACATTTTCTTAGCTTAATAAATTTACAATTCACTAAATTATATTGCTTCAATTTTCAATAGATTTTAACTCATTCCCATTCACTGCACGTTCTGCGTTTAATTATATTTATTATGTTTACAATTTCTGATTTCATTCAGTTACACAAAGTTCATGAACACGCACCGTTCGAGTGATTGTGAAGTGATCATGTTATGCGATTAAATTATAAATTAGTATTTCCTGTATTCTTTACTGTACCAGCACATACTTATTTTTTTATTTTATAAGTCTTCAATTATAAACACCATCTGCATCTACATTCTAATAAACATAACGGTAGAAAAGAAATTATTACCGTACAAGTGGAAACATTTACTGTAAATTAATTATCGAGAAAATGCATGTGTGAAGAAGCGGCTATCTCTTATTAATATAATATTTATATTGAATTTTCACAATTAGTATATTTTGCCACCAAAATATTTTAGGTAAGTTTGTTTTATTTGTACTTGGGGGGGTAGCTATTTTGTTGTATAGAATTGTTATGGAAAATAAATGTACTACGTTTTGTCATAGTTAGAGAATAGAAACAAGGGCCAAGGGCTGATTACATACATAATATCTATTTCTGTCGCACGTTTGGCATTAGAAACTTATACTATGTAGCTTACGTGTTTTTATGATACTTTAAATTAGTTTTAGAAGATCGCGACATGTTTAAATGTTAATAATTGGTGAAGATATTTGACAATATGCAACTAACTCCATATTAATTTGTATTTATTTTCTAGTATAGTTTAATTATTCAATTGGGAGATTTGAGATTCCTTTCCATGATTTTTTAAATTCTAGTTAATGGTGCAAGATCAGAATAGTTTTATTACAGTTAGAAGAACACACGAACTAAATTCATTTTTTTATATATTAATATCTTTACTCAATGAGATTGTCAAATCACATCATATTTCTCATAAACTATACTATTTTACTGTCTTAAATACATTAATGACTACATATAAATAAATATAATGTTAATGTTTACAATTTATTCATGTTTGAAATAAATAATACTAATTTTTTGCTGAAGCCCAAATCAAATGGTCAGAAATGTATAATTTTATATTTTGATTTTGTTTTCATGACACATAAAATATGGTGTTGAGTGTGGCATATATCATAACTAAGTAACAATATATTCTTGGAATTTTGGTACAGGTGTAAGTGCATCAAATTCAAAATGAGTTTTTTCAAGACTGTGATGAGTGCAGCAGTTACCAGTGGGAAGATTGGGCTTAGGAAAAGCAATGTAAGTAAAAATAAATATTAATATTGTTTGACCCTTCTTGTGATTAAATAAATAAAAAATAGCCATTGTAATTCGCTGATGTGTAACTTTTTGAGTGAAACAGTTTTTAATTTTGCTACCCATAATTCTAGATTCTACATTATGGCCTTCATAATAGTGATGAGTAGTCTCATGTTAGTAGTTTAAAAAGTATATTTACACAGTGGTGAAAAAACATAATTACGTTTTTTCAGCACTGACTAATGCTATTATTAATAATAATGTTTAAACTTTAAATGGACATATTTTGGTTTGTAAAAAAATAGCTATCCTATTTTTGTCATTATCTTGATTGTGTGTCATAGAAGATATTATTTTTATTTTATAAAATATTATTTTGTCATTTGGTATGGTAAAAAAGCTTATTAAAGTTATACAAAACAAATTAGTAAACCTATTATTGTTATGTTTATTGTAGGAAATATCTTAAATGATAGAATATCTCTAATAATTATGATTATTCATATGTATAACATATACATATTATTAAAACAAAGCAAAAGTTTAATATAAATGTTTATACTATATATTTATACTTATACTATGACCTTGAGTGTCTAATAACAATATAAAGCTGATAAAGCAACTGCATAGATGCGTTATATATCACTAACCCTCGACTTCGCGTGCAAGTTTGTAACTTTTACTTTATATTATAATCATAAATCTATGTATTTATGTGCTAATAAAATGTTAATAGTAATTTTTATACCCTACTAGCGACTGACCACTGCTTCGCTCGGGTTATGAGTATAATGGGTGATCGTGGGTATACGTGGTATGATGAGTTGTGGGTTGTATTATAACTAATAATCTCTCACTTTGCTTCGACTTGAAAGAAGGACAAACACACTCAAAATCAAACTGTATATAAATGCATTCAAGTATGTATTCAGCCCTTTTTAACGTCCCGCTGCTGGGCACGGGTTCCCCTTCAATACGAGGGGGATCAGGCCATAGTCCGCCACATTGGCCAAGTGCGGGTTGGCAGACTTCACATGTCTTTCGATTTGCTAGGTTCTCTCAGACATGAAGGTTTCCTCACAATGTTTTTCTTCACCGTAATGCAAGTGGTAATCATGTTAGAAATGATTCGCACATGAAAATATAAGAGGTGCGAGACCCGGGATTTGAACCTGCTTCACTCATTTGCCAAGCGAGCGCGTTACCAGTGAGCTGCCACTGCCTACATTCAAGTTTGTAGTTTATATTAGTTTTAAGTTGCGTTCATAATTATAATTAAGGTAAGGTAGTAAGGAAAAAGAAAAATTTGATTTTTCCGTTTTCAGTAAAAATAAATTTGAATTTTTCTCTCCATAAACGGGCTTCAACGTATATTTGACAAAAAAAATTACCGAATTGGTCCAGTCGTTCTCGAGTTTTGAGCCAGTCCCCATACGATTGCCATTTCTATATTTTGTTAATTAGGAATATTTTAATGAAATACCATAATTTTTGTGGGTCATGTGGGAGATTAGAAGCTATTGTTTTAGAGGGTACCGAACTTTTGGCGCTAACTGATTTTAGTAGGACCAAAGCATGCAGGGGGAAGTGTAGCTAGAATGGACGGAACGCGTGCGAATTTAGGTATTTCCTTCGTATTATAATTAAAATAAAAACACATTTTGAAAATGTAAAGTGTACACGATATAGAAAACATATAGTTTTGTTATTATTAAAAAAACTGATGACTTATTTGAATTATTTACGCCGCACTAAGTCTTTATTTTGTTTTTTAGAGATCAGTTTAGGTAATTTTTTCTGTCGAGGAAACTACAAGTAATCGTGTTTCTAAAGTGTACGATTTATAGAATAAATCCTTAAATATTCTACGTATTAATTGCATAATTAAAGTTTTAGTAATAACAATACAGCAAGGGATCAAACGAACGCAATTATTTCGTAAATACGTCGTTTCGCCGCTGCCTCGGTGCGCCCCATTCTGTTCGTAGTATATGAGTAGTTCCCAATTTCTTCATAGGTACATTATGTTATGAATTGTGATAAGGTGTAATCTTGTTATATTATGTTACATATGTTATCTCATCGCGATCTAGATATTTTATTTGCGCAATATTGTTATATGAAATACTAGCGACTCACCCTCGCTTCGCTCGGGTTCGTCCCTAGGTACGTTTTGAATTAAAATGGATATAGTATGTTATCCTTAAGATAAGATAGACATATGCCATCGTGGACTTTTCTGTAGACCTATATAAGATACACAATTCCACCATACATTATTTTGTTATATCTCAAAGGGTTTAGGCAGCGTTTTCGTTGAAAGCTCCCAGACGTCTTATTTTTTTCCGACACCTCCAACAAATATCGTTATATTTTAGCCAATGTATACAAAAACTTAACAAATTATATACTAAAACCTTCCTCTTGAATCACTCTATCTATTAAAAAAACCGCATCAAAATCCGTTGCGTAGTTTTAAACATTTAAGCATACATAGGGATATAGGGACAGAGAAAGCGACTTTGTTTTATACTATGTAGTGATTATGATGATTATTTATATCTCGTGTTTCAGTAAAATAGTTCACAAAAATAATATTTTAAATTACTTTTTCATTTTTTTTTGTATGATAAGAGTAAGTACAGATTGTAATGAATTTACAAAATTCAGATAGTATGTTAATTTCTCCTGTATTTAGACACATTACAGCTATCTGTATCAAACAAAAAAATAAATAAAAATTCTGTGACTATATTGTGGGTATCCAGGTGTATGTATTCAGCACTTATTAATAAACCACTGGTTGGGTACGGCCTTTCCTTACTCACGATGTTTTCCTTCACCAAAAGTCAAGTGGTAACGATGTTGGATATGATTCACTCGTGAAAATATCAGAGGTGCGAGGATTTGAACTCACTTTAAACTCTGTAAGTTTTCAAGCTAGCTCACCACCACTGGACTAGGATTACCTCGTATGATCATTATAAAAAACACAAAGAATTATTGTCTCGCTAAGCAATTTTCCTCCTTCCATACCTATATTATTTGTATTTCAGTATGTTATAAGTTGTAATACTTATAATAGGAAGTATGTATAGCAGTTCCATTATACAATTGGCAACACTATCGCTATGTGCACTACACACTACTGTACAGTGCACGTGATATGCTTCAAGGCACGTGTTATAAATGAACCGGTTATGTTTAATCAATTAAAGTCTATTCATATATGCTTAGTCATTTTTTAGTATTTACCATAAAAATACTTTTCATAACCTCTTTATATGTCCACTATCGGCTCACGTCACTTCGTCCCTAGGTTGTATAACCGTACAAACTTTCATCCCAATTTTTACCCCCTTAAGAGATGATTTCCAATATAAAAACTATCCTATGTCCTTCGGAGGGTCTCAAACTATTTTCTTATCAAATTTCATCTAAATCGGTCCAGTAGTTTCGAAGCCTATTCGGTACCAACAAACAAACAAACTAAAAAAATCTTTCCTCTATACAATATTACAAGTAAGTATAGACCTTCCACTTATTCCCGATTCTCGCTTAAATGTGTCCTTTGGAACATCTAATATATTTACTCCTTTTTGTGTACTTCGCTCCTGTAACTTCTTTAGGCGCGCCATGACAGAGGTAAAACAGGATTGGCATCACGATATTTGTAACATTTGTTTGGTTGACACGGAAGTGAATAAATGGTCAATTAAAAATTATTTAACTATTATATGTATATTTCAATGATAAAATTAAATAAAAATACATATATTTTATAAAAAAAATACTTGTTTCATATATTTTTAATTGAGCGTTGGAAATTATCAAATGTATTGTTAAAAATATTTCATGGGAAAATTTTAAATATGAATTTTTTAATCATTATAAATATGAATTTTAAATCGTATATCTACACATTTATGCACGCACTCTTTTATATATCTTTTTTGTTAGCAAAAATTCTTAGAATGTCTTAAAAAGCTCTACAACTGTACTGTGTGTGTTTCGTTGCTGACGTTACTTAGGTATTTGACGATCCAACATCGATATGAAGTTCAATGCCAAATAGTCTTGCGTGAGCGATCGCGCGATGCATGCGGTATAATAATAGAGAGAGACTAACAATGTAGCACTTATTGTTACCAATTTAAAAATGCGTAGAATTTTATAATCATTTCTAATATCTATACATATTATATAATAAAATTCTAAGTCGAATCTGTACATTCAATATATATAGGTACTCATTATTATCGTTACAGACCCCGAGTCTATAGTTTTTAGAATTTTTGTCTTTCTGTCTGATTGTGACCGCATCACGGAAAAACCACTGGAGGGATTTTGATGAAATTTGGTATAATGATAGCTGGTTATCCGGGTCAACATATATACTTTTTACCGCTGGTAAATGTCTCATTTCTAAGAAAAAATACAAAAACTGCATTGTAAGTGTATACTAATATGTAAAGGCTAAGAATTTGGTTTTTGGTCATCTGAACCCGGGCGGAGCCGCGGGCAATGCTAGTTTAAGATATTATGGTTACATATCTATAAACAAAATGATAATAACGCTTTCGTATTTATAATTTAACTGTACTTGGCCACGCGTAGTTGTAACTCAGTTTGATAAAATATAGTGGTCAATTGGAGTAAAATTGTAAACGCGAAAAATCTTATATACCTACACATAATATCATGTATTATGTGTTTGTATGTAATATAATATATAAATTTCATAAATAATCACATATTATATGTATCAAATTATTATTTATGCACGAATAAACATTTAAATTTTAGTATTAGATAAAAAAAAATTGAAGCGTTTTTATAAATATCATATTTGTTTATTTGTAGTGATAATCTCTAAAAGTATTTAATCAAATAAAAAAGTTTTCACCAAAAAAAGCTGTATATCCCATATATTTATTATAGGCTATTTGATATACTATGTGAGAGAAACTGTGGGTTTAATATAGTGTAAAATAATTGGTTTAGCGTCTATTTCAAGGTTAAAATTTACTAATGTTTTTTTAATAATGAGGTTTTTGACTGCCTCCGCCGAGGTCACCTCGTGTTTAGCTTTTTGCTAAGTGTTTTAAGTTCTGCGAAATTGTTTTTTGTGGAGACACAAGTATAGTGTAAGCCAACCAATTTGAAGATTATAGATAAAATATTGAGATTTTTTATTTTTCGGATATATTATTAATTAAATTCTGTCATTAAAATTTATGTCCTTTAAGTTCACGCCTAAATGCTATAGAAAAAGCACTCTCAGATTTCTCAATTTTCTGGGTAACTTTTCCATCTTTCTTTCCTGTAATACTTTATTGATAATGTATGTACCTATCTAGTATCTACCTCAAAAAATATAGAATCCACACGAGTCGTTACGGAGTATATTTTAAAATTATTAATTTATATACAACTAGCATTGCCCGTGGCTCTGCCCGCGTTCAGATTTCCAAAAACCAAATCCTTAGGTTTTACATATTAGTATACCTACTCTTACACTGCAGTTTTTGTATTTTTTCTCAGAAATGAGACATTTTTCCGCTGTAATAAGTATCCTATATGATTCTGAGATATGAAATATTTTCCTGCAGCAAAAAGTATCCTATATTTTGACACGGATCCAGCTATCGCCATACCAAATTTCATCAAAATCCCTCCAGTGGTTTTTCTGTGATGCGGTAACAGACAGACAGACAAAAATTCTAAAAACTATAGATTCGGCCTTTGTATCGATAATAATGTTTATTTCAATAAGATTTTCCAAAAAATATCAAATATACAGATGCGGCTTAGTTACCATTTTATTATATGTATAGATAGGTATCAAAAACTTAAAAGTACGTACACCTATGTGACAATACACGAGTTTCAGGTAAAATAAAAACATTCCTTTGTCAACAGTTACGTCCGTTTTTGTCATGTGCCCCCATCGCTCTTACATGGGACCGCGCTGCGCACACCCAGGACATTACCAAGAACATACAGTACATCACCAACGACAAGATCAAACTGAATGCGGACCCGAAGACAATGAAGTAAGTTATATTTGTTAGATATATTTGTAGTTATTATACGAATCCCGGGGGAGAAGCCAACTCCTACCGGGCGCGTCCCCAGGTGGCGGATAGGGGAATGCCACCCGCTTAGGGCGGCGGGTGGTACCGGAGAAATCCGGCGCGGACCAAATGGCTTGGATGGGGCCGCTCGTCTAGGCCTCGAGCCGAAGACGTTGCGGCCACCGGTGGTGGGACCGCTTGGTCCCACAACCGGATGATGGGTGCCGGTTGCGGGACTATGGTCGCAGGCCCGCATCCGGCGGAGGAGTAGGCCGCGGTGGGAGAGGAGTGCCGGTATTTCGGTGCGCCGTTCTCCCTACCTTCCGCGGCCTAGACGGGGCCGCCACCGTTCGATGGCGGACGCGGTGGGGCTGCAGGGGAAGAGGAGTGTCGGTGTTTCGTTGCCGCTCTCCCTGTCCTCTGCAGCCGATTGGAGGTGGCCCACTTCGGTGGGCGGTGGTTAGGTTTAATGGGGCTGCTCCGGGTACCTCTCTGGCGTAGCAGAGTTGACTGTGGAGCAGCCCCATTGGTTTGGTGGTCTGCCTTTTTAGGCAGACCTGCCGCCGGGGCGCCGTAGTAGTTATGCGCAAGCGATCCTGCGGTGTCCCATTAAGGCGGAGGGGAGGGGAATGTCGGGTTTTAGTGGGTAGTACCGGCTCTTCTAGCCGGTGAGCCCCACATCACCACCTGGGGGATCAGGTGGTATGCGTAAATGCATTTCCCGACATAAAAAAAAAAAAAAAAAAGTTATTATACGAATAATTTGATATTTACCGATTTCAAAGAAGAAGAGTTGCTTCGGCAATGGTTCTGTTTGTAGTTCGTTTTTATTATATAGGGTTTTTTTTATGTTGAGAAATGCATTTACGCATACCACCTGTAGACATACAGGTGGTTATGTGGTACTCACCGGCTAGAGAAGCCAGTATTACCCACTAAAACCCAACAAGTCACAGTTTTAACTCTATTGGATTTTAGTAACGCTTTTAACACTTTATTTTGATATTCTGCCTCTTCCATTGTGTTCTCTTAACATATCTCCAGATGTAATTGACTGGTTTCACAGTTACTAGTATGGTCGCCGGCAACGTACCCGTATTCATGGTTCTTACTCTGAATGGATTTCGCTACATGTCGGTGTTCCTCAAGGTGGCGTTTTGTCTCCTCTCTTATTTTCTATATTTATTAACTCTCTGTTACTATATTTTCTCACCCTGCCACCTTTATGCAGATGATTTTCAAGTCTACCGCCAAATGACTTTATTAAACCTAGTTCAAACCATCGATCATATTAATACTGACCTACTTAATATTTCGCAAAAACTAAATAATTAGGCCTAATAGTGAATCTAGGTAAAACACAAGTTATAATAATTATAGGTAGTTCAAAATTAAAATCAAAAATATCTTTATCACAATAACCACCAAATGTGTTTGATGGTATACAAATTCCTTATAGTGATAAAGTGAGAAATCTGGGTATTTATTATATTAGACGAGACATTATCTTTGAAGTCGTAGGTGGGCGAAGTGAACAGAAAAATGTTTGGTGTCGTTGCGTCATTACGTCACTTACGCAATTTTCTATATATTCCCACTAAAATTGCATTGGCTGATGATGTTCTCCTGACCGATTCCGGCCACGGCGGCCAATCTCATTGAGACTAGCCAACTGCGCAGGAGATATTATAGTGCTCAAGTATACGCGCAGACACAAGTGCACTCTCTATTCCTGTTACTCCCATATACCGGTGGGACCGCTACTCGACACGACCGGTGAGAGTTAAGGCGCAGGACCGACAGCTTTATGTGCTCTCCGAGGCACGGGAGTGAAACACCGCCAACTTCCCAACTCCGGGCTGTTACTGAGGCTTACTTATACAGAAAGACTCGATAACTAAACTTGGCCCAACCCGGGACTCCGGGCGTGCAGAGCCGTACATGCTAGCCACTACACCACCGAGGCAGTTATTTCATCATAAATTATTATCTGCATATATGTATATATAGCATCATAAATTATTATCTGCATTGGCTAATCAATCAATCAAATATACTTTATTCAAATAGACTTTTACATACTCTTTTGTATCGTCAATGTTACATTTCAAATTAAAATTAAATGTCAGTGTAGTCAGTCTGTGAGGAAGGTACCACCGTCTAAAACTCTTCTATTACCAATTCTTCACTATGCTGATATTTGTTACCTTGATTTAAGCGAGGAGCAATTAAATAAGCTTGAATGAATTCAAAATCTCTGCATTCGGTTCATATCTAGATTTAGTAAATATAACCTCGTTTCCGAATTTTGTAAAAAACTCAATTGGCTTCCTATCCGTCTTCGCAAGAATACCCACGTATTTTTTATTTTTTTTTGTCTTTCATACAATATTCTATTTAATCCTTGTACATCTCAGTATCTTAACAATAGTTATAAATTTTTAAGTAATTCCCACCATTTTGCTCTTCGTTCTACCCTAAATCTAACTTTTATACTCACACCTTTATTGTCCTATTTACCCGTCTGTGGAATTCTTTACCAAATAATCACTGTAATTATTTAAAAAAATAACTAAAGAAATCTTAACCTATAAAGTGCTAAATGGTGCCGTATTTAATATGTAAAATATATGTATGTATGTATGTATTAATGTATGTGTGTATGTCCGTATATATTTGTTTGTCTATGTATAATTTCATTTGTAGATCTCTTCAAGATTATTTGCACCCCTTCCTTATCTTTACGCAAGAATGCCTAGAATAGATCGCTCTCTAGCAATAAGGCCGCCTATTGTACTACTTCTCTTTAATTTGTTTCAACTATGTAATCTATACTAATATTATAAATGTGAAAGTTTGTGAGAATGGATGTTTGTAACTCTTTCACGCCAGAACGGCTGAACGGATCTTGAGTAAATTTGGCACAGAGATAGCTTATAGTCTGTAATAACTCATAGGTAACTTTTTATTCCGGCAAAATGTGCGGTTCCCGTGGGGTAGGTTTGTTTTTGTTTTTCTAGAGACGAACTCGAGCGACGCGAGGGTGAGCCGCTAGTGTAAAATAATGATGTGTAATAAAGAATATTTGATTTAATTTATATATAGTAACAATGCTTCATTATTTATGATTGTAAGTGAATGAAGATACCTAATTTGTTTCATTGAAATAATCGCGTATTGGGAAATGAGTCACCTAGATAAGAAATCATGCTAGTTCAATGAATATATCTGCATCGATAATCGTCCTACTTCGATTGATTGTTAGGTTATATTTTAATTAACTAATTTAATTTAAACTGTTTAAATATATCAGTTATTACTCGTTTTATCGTGATAAAATGTCACCAGTATTGCTGTTTGGTCCTGGGCTGGATTTGCAAGTGCATTTTAATCTAATTTAAACCATCATTGTCACATAATCCTTTATATCGTCTAGGAAACTGTATATAAAGAGCTCTATGATGACTCAAGGCCACTTTATTCTTAGCTCCTTCATACGTAAATGCATACATACATATTTAGTCGATCGCGTTACCTACTTGCTGCATTTGTTAAGCTGGCGTTGCATTGGACTTTGTTACAGCCAGTTGATGCGTAGTTGCATATCGATGATTAATATTATGTGCTTTGTAAGATTTATATACATTATAATATAAAATAAATATATATAAATATGTTGGGACATTAACACACAGCACCATCTAATTCCATGGTAAGCACAAAGCTTGTGTTATGGATACCAGATAGTTGATACACTACATATAAATAACTTTAAATACATACATATTATAAATATAAACACCCATGACTGGAGTTCAAAAATTCGTGCTCATTACACAAATGATTGCCCCAACGGGACTCGAACCCACGACCGCTGGCACAGTAAGTACACATAGTCACTACTAACTAAGCCAAACGTGTCGTCGAAAAAAATATATGTATAAAATACATAGTTTCCAAACTTATTATAAACTACGCCTTAAATTTTAAAATTTCTTACATAAGTGGTACCCTATAATAATTTCAGAATAAAAAAATTTCATCAAATTAGGTGACACGTCAATATCAAAACCTTATTAAAGTTTTAGATTTCTTATTTCGGTAATGGGTTTATTTATGCGTTTTATCACCAAAGTTATACGTAATCGATACGCAATTATTAACAATATTTATGATGAGGAGATGTAACAGTTTATACAAAAAAATATGAAAATTCTAAAATAAAAAAATACTATTTAATTTAATCAATGTAATATTATTGTGCTTTGAATTTAAATAAACCTCTAACTCAGTCAATTAATATAATAAGAACCACACTTCTCGATAAAGTTAAAGGCCCTAAAACGTTTACTGACATAGCTTACATTGATAGTTTTACTGCAGTTTTGTGTAAAAAGAGGATATCCTTATTAAAGAGAATACGTGTCACTAGTAATATTACTTAAAGTTAAAGATAATCGCACCGTAGTACAATAATAGTGGCATATGTGATATGAGACAGCCTCAGACTAAGGAATAATATACGAGTATACAGAGTGTCATAGACCATAGTACTAAACATGAAGCTAAACAATAATGATTTAAAATAGTATACAAATGACAATTTGTATACTGAGTGATAAGTAAATTGTTAATAAATAAAAATAGCTAACGGATTTTAGTACAATAAAGACTATTTAATAAATAAGCTAATATTATGCTATCTTTCATTTAAGAGGAAAAGAAAAAAATGTTATAAAATACAAAAGAATGTAGTATTATCTTTAGACTTTACATACTTACATATTATAAATATACTCGTAAACACATATGACTGGAGTACAAACATTGGTGCTCATCACATAAATGAATGCCCCCAGCGGGACTCGAACCCGCGACCGCTGGCATAGCAAGTATAGTAAGGATCACTATAAACCATACGTGTTGTCAAAATATAATGTTTTCTGATTACTTTACTTTAAACCACGTTAATAATAATTAAATTTACTATACTATAGAAGAAGATAAAGAATGTGATTAAAAATGGCGGTTCATTGAGTCCACACTATTAATAGGCATAATGTAGTCTAAGCGACGACTTATTTTGGTAAAAATGTTATAAATAAATATAACACTGATAATAATATTTCGGAAACTCGACTAAATAATAATGATGATAGTTTTATATGGCTTTTGGACGAAAATATCATAGATTTCACATTTTTTTTAATATGTTTTTTAATCAATTTCGAAAATTGTAAAAAAAAGAAAATTATAAAAAAAATCCTAATAAATACTATTATTTTTATTTTTTCGTGGTCTATAATTGACGAATGTCGTCTAAAAAAGTTAGTTTTCGGGAAAGAAGAGAATATAGGCGACGCCATTTGTAACTCCACTCTCTCCACACTTAACCTCGCTTAGTTCGGGTGCGTCCCTAGATAAGTTTTAATTTTTTTGAGTGGAACCCTAATTCATTTTCTAAAATAAAAGGCTATAATTAACTCATTATAACGTCAGCAATCTGCCAGCTAAAAGCCCGTCAAAAACAGTCCAGCCGTTCCGAAAATTATTCGAAACAAACAGACAGACAAGAATCTTAAAAATTGTGTTTTTCTTATAAGTACCGTATATCATTTAATATACATTTAGTAAAAAGCTGTTATTTTGACATTACAAACAGACAGTTTCAATTTTATTTATCTGTATAGATCCTTTTTTTGCACGAGTTTTATACGAACGGTTGCTTCTACCTCAGGCTAGATAAACAACTGAACCGCCCAACCTGTGTGATGATCAACTGGCTACTCGCGCGGCAGAAGCATGTCATGAAGTACGCCAACTTGTATTTGGAGCAAGGGTTTGACGTCATCTCCGTCTCATGCACTCCATGGCAGCTTATGTGGCCGCTAAAAGGCACTCAAGTAAGTCCCGAATTTTCATTTAAAATCTATAAAGTTTTTTTTTCTGGGTCCCATCCCCAATTTAATTCGATTTTGATCGGTGAAATAAATATGTTTTTTATATTTTTTTTTGTTTATTGTACAGATAATCTGATAAAAAAAATATTTAGTGTGCTGTATTTGTCATATAAAGGCGAGGTTACACTCACACAATACCCAACAAATACAATTTTATCTGTCAAATATGTTGATAGCGAGTTTTTAATTTTGATAATAATTATATTATATGAAATTTTCAACCCCTTAGTGTTCATTGTTTTTTTTTAAGTAGCTCACAATCATTCTTCAGGGTTCAAAGTATTCCCATATCGAAGTTTTATCTAAATCGATTTAGCAGATTAGCCGCATAAACTAACCAGACCGACAACAATACATAATATTGTGCCGATTGTATCTTTTGGTTAAAATTAATGTTCTATTTTAAAAATAGCGTAAATCTCATATACTGACCTCGTTTACTTATCTTTCAAATAATGTTATGTAACAAGCAATGATAGGGTTAGATTATTTAGAAAGTTTTAGTAAATAGTAAATATTTAATATTTGATTGTGAAAATACTAATGTTATCAATGTGTATGTATGTTTGTTACTTTTTCTCGAATAAACTACTGAACTGAATTTTGTGCTTGTCATGGTTCCGTCCGCCAACCTGCGCTTGGCCAGCGTGGTGGTCTATGGCCTAATCCCCCTCGTACTAAAGTGAGGCCCGCGGCCAACAGTAGGTCGTTAAAAAGGGCTGAATACATGGTTCCGTCCCCTATTTGATAAAAACAGATCTGCCTGTTAGACTTTCACACATTGCTTTTTTTGAATCTTTTGGACAGAAAAGTGGAGATTTATTATTTAGTAAAAATAAATAAGGCAGCTCAGAAAAGATGGCATTCTACAAAAAAAGAAAAGAAGTCTAAAAAATATATGGGATTCAATTCAATTGTTTTTTCAGTGGCTCCTAGGAAATATATGTAGAGATATGTATATGTCGGTATAGGTATACTATAATAACATAACGATTTTTGTTATTTCAATACAATTTTTAAAATTTCTATTGTTGAATTATATGTTACCTAAAAAAACTCAGTTTATCTAATTTTCCCTAGTTACTTTTTAACGCTTAGTATAGACTTCTGAGATATGAAATATTTTCCTGCAGCAAAAAGTATCCTATATTTTGACACGGATCCAGCTATCTTCATACCAAATTTCACCAAAATCAGTCCAGTGATTTTCTCGTGATGTGTCCCCAAACAGACAGACAAAAATTCTAAAAACTATAGATTGGGTCTCTGTATCGATAATAATGACTAATTCTATAAGATTTTACAAAAAAAAATATTTAATGTACCTACTGATTCGGTTCGAATTTTATTACATATAAGTAAAAAGTAAAACATACTCCGTAGATGACAATTATGAAGTAAAGGAAGTAGTAGTAATTAAGTAGTAGTATGAAAATGAGACTCAACTAAAGGAGCATGTAATGACTTTAAATTTTTTTCCAAAGATATTTTTGCTAAGCCCTTTTTGGTTTGAATTTATATTTAATTCATTTTTTTGTTTTGTGACTTTTAGGCCTTACAGTTGAGCACCGTTTCCTTCGCAAATATCGCCAAGACTAAGATTAAGACTTAGTACAATACAAATTACGATCATCTATGTATAGTGTAATTAATTCGTAACAGAAAATGGCTATAAATAATTATGAATGTAATTAATTATAATCTATTGCAATTAACTGATATACAGAAATTTCCATACAATAAAAATTTTATTAGCAAAGGTGGAAGGTAGCAAGGAATGTATAATTGTATAGTGTATACCTACTAATCAAAAATAGGGGCCCACTTAGTTTTTCTTGCGTAACTTTAAATTATATACCAGAGTTTTCATATATAGCTGCTTTTTGGGATTTAGAAATTGTGTAAACATCATTAACAGTAAAAGTTTCTTTTTTTATTTAATCACGATAACTAACATTTATATGCTTAAAACTGATTAAAATCATTTAAAAAGTTGTATTTGGGTACGTGTCATAGTGTGCAGGCCCCCCTCGGCACCATATGCACTCTCTGAGTCTGATAAACTTTCAATAAAATGTCTTATGTTTTCATCAGGTATTCCTTCTCAACAGCCTTTTAGAGCGTTTATGAGCTCTTGTTGGTTATTCACGTTGCTGTAGTTGCCTTTAAGTTTTCTTTACAACTGATCCCACAAATTTTCGATGTGGTTAAAGTCGAGAGTCAGGACTCCTCGTTGACCATGGTAAAAATGAAATATTAGCATCAGAAACGGTTTTTACCAATGAACGGGGTGTTTCATGAGAAACGCTTAGGTGTATAATTCGTTGAGGTTTTGTGTAAATTGAATGACGATGATTGTTGAAGATTTCGGAAAATATCATGCTGATTGAGAGCTTTACTGGCGTGGGCCGCATAAACTATTGTAGGCAGAACCATACAAAAACATAAAAATTACTACAAAAAAGTCCGCGATGCATATATATATATTAGGGCTCATGTAAATAAGCCTTTTTAGGCTTTTCAAATTGGATATAAAATAATGCTTTATTTGCGAAGGTGTTTTTCCAATATGGTGTCAATCCTTATCTAAATAAATATGTTAACAACTTAAGCACCTAATTTAGATCAAAACTGGCGACTAAACATACCATTTAAATGAATATCTTAGAAGATATCACAGAATTAAAATTACTTACTATCTACTTTACTTAATATCTTGTACGATGAAGACGACAGCGGGGATAATGGCGAACGGGGCGAGGAGGGTCCTAGCATGATAAATGTTAACGTCGGTTACAACAATTATTGTTTAGGTTGTTGTGTGCATTTTTTTGTAGGCATTATTTTTTGTAATTATGTGGTGACATAGGTACCTATATGTTTTCTTTATTTATTTATCTACTTATTTATTTATTTATTTATTGATTAGAATTACAAACAATAGTTACAATAAATTACATATAAAAAAATTAACATTAATATAAAAACATGATGATTGCACTTTTAATTACAGGTAATTACAACATACTATTATATTACTACAAAATCATCACAAAAATGTATCAACTGTGTGTAATCTATACATATGATAAAATTGTAACTGAGTCGAATCTGTACATAAAATATTTTTTGGAAAATCTAATTGAAATAGACATTATTATCGATACAGAGTCCGAATCTATAGTTTTTAGAATTTTTGTCTGTCTGTCTGTTACCGCATCACGAGAAAACCACTGGACAAATTTTGATGAAATTTGGTATGATGATAGCTAGTTATCCGGGTCAACATATAGGATACTTTTTACCGCGAGAAAATATCTCATTTCTGAGAAAAATACAAAAACTGCAATGTAAAAGTATACTAATATGTAAAACTAAAGAATTTGGTTTTTGGTCATCTGAACGCGGGCGGAGCCGCGGGCAATGCTAGTTATACCTATTATTTAGAGCAGCGTTATGCGTGTCATTTAAATAAAGGTGAAATATTTTTTTTATAATCTTTGTTGCTTTTGAATTAAGTCCAAATTAATATTTTTAATGTAATTTCTTTTTGGCATTAGGAAATAATTATTAAAAAGTGCCATTATGGGTGGGAAATTCAAAGCAGTTGAAACGCACGCCCCGTTGGTCAGACCGAATATGACGTCAGAGTATTTCATAACAGAGCGTTTAGCGATTTTGTCGCTTCAAATTGCAGCAAAAGGCGTAATTTTTCTATGTATGATACTGTGACGTCACGCCAAGTGCGCAAAATCGCGGGCGTATAAAGTATTCGTATCGTTATGATATATATTTTATTTTAAATTATACTACATTTTAGTTTTTTGGAGCTGGATATTTTTTTACGTATATATATAAGTGTAAAAAAGACAAAAAAAACACCCTTTTACATAATATAGGTAGGTACTTCTGTTTGAGTGAATTTTATCGTAAGGTAATAATTATTATTAGTTATTTGTTTTGTTCTATACAAATGTATTACTGAATTATCCGTACCTATATATAATACGTTATATAATACGTTATATATAATAAATAATATTGATTTGTGTTTTAGTTAGTAGCAGCGGATCTCATAAAGTTTATGGCCGCGAACGAAAATGACCAGCCCACTGTCCTCCATGGTTTCTCAGTGGGCGGGTACATATGGGGCGAGGTGTGCGCTCATGTCATGAATAATAAAGAAGCGTAAGTTCTCTACATCGATTATAAACATATCTTTTATTATGTTATTCAAATCTTGAAAATCGATTTTATACTATTATTATAAGTATATGGAATCCGGATGCAAATGCAATAATTCGATAAAATTTTGATTTTGATACTATTTAGTTGTTCTGCTGGAGCCAGATGGTGGATTCTTCAAGACCATTGAGTTTGAATTCCTTTGGACTTCGCTCAGATGAACTCTTTTAATATAGCAATTGGTTAAAATTTAACAAATATAATCAAATAAAAATATACTTTATTCACAAAGACAAGCACCTTTTTTATATAAAAATTGAGATATGTTTATAATCTGTAAATGTATATGTATATATTTTTAATACAATATTTTTTATATTAATAATACAATGATATAATATATAACAAATAGGTGTTATTTAAATTACAGCTACCAACCGGTGATGGACCGCGTGGCGGCACAGATATGGGACTCGGCGGCGGACATCACAGAAATCACCATAGGAGTGCCAGCCGCCATCTTCCCTAAGAACAAGATTATGCAGAAAACCCTCAAAGCATATATGGAGTAAGTAATATATTCATATGTTTTTCCGATGACGAACGACGAAAGAGCGGGACGAACCCGAAGCGAAGCATCCGTGCTTTGTTTGAATTTGACAATTTGTTAAAAGTTCATGTCAAATTTTTATATCTAGTAACGAAAACTTTAGAAAGATAGGTTATATATAGGTATATAATGAGAACCTTCTTAATATAGGACTAGGAAAATCAACCTATCAAAGGGTAGAAGAGTTGGAAGTTACTAAGAAATTAACCTTTTTTTTTAAACTATGCGGGCAGAGCCGCGGGCAAGTGCTTAGTAATCTATTATTAAAAATATCTTTATTCTGTATTCAGCCGTAATTAAAGTATAAATTCGATATGCAAATTGCACTAGGAGGAAAAGGAGTCTCCCTTTATACGAGGGGGATCAGGCCATAGTCCCCGACTCTGCCCAAGTGCGGGTTGACAGACTTAACATGTCTTTCGAAAACTTGCTAGGTACCCTCAGATATGCAGGTTTGCTCACGATGTATTCCTTCACCGTAAGACAAGTGGTAATCATGTTGGAAATGATTCGCACATGAGAATATTAGAGATCTGAGATTTGAACTCACTTCACTCGGTTCCCAAACGAGCGCGTTACTATCACTTCCTTAATTCCTAAGACAAAAGTGGTGTCATGGCTCGCTACTTTAACGTATGATGCTACAGAAAAAAATATTTATGATATATCGTAATGGGCTTCTTTAAATATCTAAACTGTATAGATATTATGTTCATATTAATTAAGCTTTTGTTTTTTCTTTTTTTAATGCACTTATTGTAAATGCAAAATAAAACAAGCAATACTTTTATTTTTATAGTTTTTACATATCTCTTTGTCATAATAATAACTTTTACTAGCATTGTTAACCGAGCAACAATATTTTATTTGTTAATCAAATTGTGGTACTCACGATACAGGCTTTGCCTAGTGTGAGTTACCCTCAGGTATGAAATATATTGTAAACTAAACTTTTTGGACAATAAAGATTATTATTATTATGTTTTTACAATTTTGTTCTCCTAGGTGACTAGGGTATAACCAATTATTGCGGGCAAATAGCCAAGCAAAAACTGGGTGGATTTTTTTTAATGTTTCGGTGATTTAAGAAAGATATCAGCCATGTAATTATATAAATAAAATATTATAAATAAATAATAGTAATAAATAAATCTGCGAGAATAATCCTGTTAAAAATCCAAAACTGTAAGAAAGTTACCACCTATAAGGATAGGAATTTTCTTACAATTCGGCATGTATTTAAAATTGCGGCTTTTTGAAGAAGTATATAAGTTGAGCGGTGGAGGCCTAAGGTTTCCAGGTTAGTATGTAGAGTGTGTGGTATAACACCTGTAGTTGATAGGACTATTGGGATTGTGGTTACTGTTTGCACTTTCCATTGACTCCTAAGTTCTATGGATAGGTCCGTATATTTAGCTATTTTACTAGAATATGTTTGTGCAAGATTGTGTGTGTTGGGTATAACAATATCTATAAAGAATACGGTGTTGTTAGTTTTGTCGAGAAGCAATATATCGGGTCTATTATAGTGTATGGTTTTGTCGGTAATGATTGTACGGTCCCAGTAAAGTTTGTAATTAGGAGATTCTAGAATAGTTTGAGGTGTGTACTTATAGTAAGGTGTTTTTTGTGCCTGTGTGATGAGTGAATATTTAAGTGCAAGTTGTTGATGTATGATGGCAGCGACTTGATCGTGCCGATGCTTGTAGTCAGTTTGGACTATGGACTTGCAGGCTCCAGTAATGTGCTGAATAGTTTCAGAACTACAGTGGCATCGTCTACATAAATCAGTCAACATGTTGGGCCTTCTTTATTATTATTATTATTAATTAAATCCGTTCATTAGATTTTAAGTATTTTTGACATGATCTATAAATATAAAATACTAGCATTGCTAGCGGCTTCGCCCACGTTCAGATGACTAAAAACCAGATTCTGGGGATTTACATATTAGTATACTCTTTCATTGCAGTTTTTGTATTTTTCTCAGAAATGAGACTTTTTCCCACGGTTAAAAGTATTCTTTATGTTGACCCGGATAACCAGCTATCACCATACCAAATTTCATCAAAATCCCTCCATTGGTTTTTCTGTGAAACGGTAACAGACAGACAGGCAGACAAAAATTTTAAAAACTATAGATTCGGCCTCTGTTTCGATATAATTGACTATTTCAGTAAGATTTTCCAAAAAATATTTAATGTACGGATTCGGCTTAGTTACAATTTTATTATATGTATAGATATATAATCTTCGTATGCAACTAGGCCAAATTGTTACTATGGAGATGCAGTTCGATTCTTACATAAATATAATTCAACGCTGATATGTAATCGATATGCAATGCATTATATTATACAAGTGATATGTAATCATCAATATCTTAATGCCAAAGTCACCTTCACCTTCGCCCCGTTACATTTCAGGATGTTGTCATGCAATATTATTTTTCAATGGATTTTGTTGGTATGCTTTATTTTCCTTGCCACTTTATCAAAATTAATTGTGATATTAAATAAGCATAGGTATTGTTTTACGCTGATGACTAAAATAAACTTCATACTTTTAAAATTATTTTTTTACTTACACAATCGGCATAATCTATACAAATAAATATAATTGAAGTGTCTGTTTGTAATGTCGAAATAACAGCTTTATACTAAATGCATATTAAAGTATATAGGGTACTTATAAGAAAAATACAATTTAAAAAAAAAATTGTGTCTGTCTGTTTGTTCCGGCTAATTTCCGAAATGGCTGGACCGATTTTAAAGGTACTTTCACTGGCAGATAGCTGATGATGATGTACAAAGAGTAACTTAGGTACGAGTACTTACTATTATTTTAGAAGAAAAATTAAAACCCATGAAACTGTGAACAAAATCCTCGTACTTGGGGACGCACCCGAGCGAAGCTGGGGTAAATTGTTAGTATAATAAGTATGTACAAGTCAAAGTTTTAGACTTATCACTATATTGTGTGAAAAATTCGTTAACCGACTTCCAAAAAGGAGGAGATTCTCAATACAAATATAAAGGAATAAATATATTAGGTTTGCTTTACATCGGCTAGCAGCGACTTCGAAAATATCTGATTAGGTATCTATTCTAAATGAAAACCTCCGTTTATTTATATTAATTTCTTACTAGCACTAGCACCTTACTCTCGCTTCGTTTGGATGTAACCTTCAGGGTGATTGGTTTAGAAACGCATAGAGGATTAACATACAAAATAAAATTATTGTGCCAGGAGCCTACGTATATTTAGTACATACCGTAAGGTATTCTTAGTATCTTTTGATCACATATCATGCAAAATATGTTTAATTACACATTAATGAAGAGATAGCTTAATTAATACAACCTATTAAAAGATATAACAAATACAAAATTTCCCAGTTTAATAATAATAATATGTTGAGACACTACCACACAGCACAATCTAGTTCCGCGGTAAGCTACGAGGCTTGTGATATGGATTCCAGATAGTTGATACACTACACATATATAACTAAATACATACATATTATATAGATAAACACCCATGACTGGAGTACAAATATTCGTGCTCATTACACAAATGAATGTTCGCAGCGGGACTCGAACCCGCGACCGCTGGCACAGCAGTTAGGGTCACTACAAACAGAGCCAAACGTGTCGTCAATAATAGTATGATAACTAGCGACTCGCTTCGCTCGACTTCGGGTTTTAATTTTTTTGAGCGGAACCCTAATTCTTTTTCTAAAATAAAAGTAGCCTATGTTACTCCCTATAACATCAGCTATCGCCCAGTGAAAGCAGCCGTTTCAGAGATTATCTGGAACAAACAGACAGACAAAAATAAAAAATAAAACGTGTTTTTCTTATAAGTACCTACCGTATATAATTTCATACGCATTTAGTAAAACGCTGTTATTTTGTTATTACAAACAGACACTTCTATTTTATTTATCTTATTTATGTTTACAACAATAAACAACATACTCAGATACCACTTGAAGACGTTCCACGAGGCTGCCACAGTGCACTACATCCGGTCGTCGCAGCTGTTCCACACCACGGTGTGCCGCGCGCCCGCTCTCTTCCTGCTGTCCAGCAGCGACCCGGTGGGCGCCGAGGCCAGCAACCGCAGCGTCTACGAGAGCTGGTGCAAGATGGGCATCAAGGTGAGCCTTGTCTATACTAATATATAAAGAGGAAAGATTTGTTCGTTTGTATCGATTATGCTCCGAAAGTACTGAACCGATTTAGATGAAAGGTAAGAAGATATTTTGAGACCCTGGGAAGGGCATAGGATAGTTTTTATCCCGGAAATTATCTATTATGGGGGTGAAAATAGGCATGAAATTTTATATTGGGAAGCAAGCTAGGGACGAACCCGAGCGAAGCCAGGGCTGAGTCACTAGTACTTGATAATCCCATCGTGTGGTGGTCCAGTGTAGTGAAATCTAGTGGCTGCAGTTTTTTTTTGCGGTGTAATTCTATAAGGTTCCACAAACCTCGCTATATGATACGGGCAAATGTGAGACCTTGTTTACAAGAAATATATAAGGTATTTACTGAATACAATTTTTTTTATGGCTGCAGATTCTGGGTTCGAGTTCCGAATCGGGTCAAGTTTAGTTAGTTTTTCTGTTAAATAATTATCAGTCATGAAGTTAGCGGGAGTTGCGAAGATGGCTGAGTTTCATTTCCTTGCCGAGTACCTTCCTTGCAGATCACATAAAAACTATCTATATATGTTATATATAATAAGTAGAGGACAAATACAAAACGTTTTGTCTTTGTACATCGTGTAGAAAAAATAACTATTTGGCCTATTAAAGATAAATATTTGAAATAGCTTCAATGGAACTTCTCTCAAATTATAATATATTATACCCCCAAAACACCGTATTTTAACCGAAACAACCCCTGTCCCCCGCAGTGCACCTGGCAGTGCTGGGCGCGCTCCCCGCACGTGCAGCACTTCGCGCGCCACCGCGACGAGTACGCGTCGCTGGTGCGCGCGCACCTCGCGCAGCACGCGCGCCCGCAGCGCCAGCGCGCGCACGCCTCCACCGCGCTGTGAGCTTCGTGCTACTGGCCGATTGACATATGACTTGTGTGCTGTCAAAATGTGAATCCCCTATTACATATATACGGCAACAGCAATTCATTTCAATATTCTACAATTCAATTTTCTTGTTAATGACTTCAAAGTGTGCCAGTGAAAAGCAAATTACTTCGCCATTGTCACGTAGAATGGAGAAGACACGAAAGGGATTGGTCCGGTCTATGACGTCACTTTTAACAATTGAATAACTTTTTATTCATTTTAGTTACAAAAAATGAAAATCGAATCTTCATTATACTTCAGCGTGACATTAGTGATGTTATTTGTGGTCAACTAGCACGCATTGAAATTATAAACAATGAATTGAATGTAACATTGATAGGAAATTGGTGATGATTGATGTCAACTATTCAATTCAAGTGATATGAAGTTGACCGGCTTGAAGTTGTCGTAAATGGTGTCGTAATAAACATTTCTCTGACTAAATGGTAAAGCTAAATGGAAAAAAAATATCTAAATCTGACCATCCAAAGCCAACTTCAGTCCGGTCGACTGAGATTGCGTGTATTCTCTTAGAATTGAAATGAATAACTTCCGATCACTTGGCCTAAAAAAGATAGATTTGACATAACTTATATGAACTCTCAAGTTAAGAAAGTTTAAGTTAGTTGTAAAATTGAAAGATAGTTTATCCGTTTTGGCAGATAGGTGGCTTGTCTAAAAGTTTTTAGCTCTGTTCCCTTAAATGTTGTATTAGAAATAATATTTTTGTTTGTATGTATGAAAAATTATTAAATTTGAATAGTTGATAGCTCTAAAATTGTTTTACAACTTGTTTGAAACTATCCAAAATCAAACTTTGAACTGAATTATGTAAGTGAAGTAAAGAATAATTAAAAAAAAATACAATAGTTTTTTTAATATGACTTTTAATGCAGAACAAAATGTAAGTATAAAACAATTTTTTATGCAGGATGTGTGTATTTAATGTGTCAGGTTTTAGATATTAATATGTGTATGGAAAGATTTAAATTTAATATTTTTTTTTATTTATATTATTGAGATCATCTGTCCATTTATAAACTTATATATTGCTTGTATACAAGTTTACTCCATGTTGTTAGTCATTATGTTATTTGTAACAACTTATACCATTTTTATATAGTGAAGGTAAAAGCGACCAAATTTTCTATTCTAAATTGTTCTCCGTAATGCTTTTGTAATAAATAAACTTGTATTGGACGTAAGAAATTAAATATTTAAATTCAAAATATTAATAATTTCTTCTTTAATGTTAATGTGTAGGAAACCTTCCCATGTTATTTAGAAAAAGAAATTTTCAAAGAAATTTTCATGCACTTTTCACATCGACTGAATTTAAATTTAAGTTTGTATTTATAGAAAAATATTGTTAACTGACAATGTTTTTTTTTATTAAAAGAGTAATGGTTATAAATGAGTTTTATTTTTTAATAACAGCATCCCAGGTGTCATGTCAACTATACATATAATGAAATTCTAAGTACGTTGAATCTGTACAATAAATATTTTTTGGAAAATCTTATTGAAATAGATATTATTATCGATACAGAGGCCGAATCTATAGTTTTTAGAATTTTTGTCTGTCTGTCTGTTACCGCATCACAGAAAAACTACTGGAGGGATTTTGATGAAATTTGGTATGGTCATAGCTGGTTATCCGGGGCAACATATAAGATACTTTTTACTGGGGGAAAATATCTCATTTCTGAGAAAGAATACAAAAACTGCAATGTAAGAGTATACTAATATGTAAAACCTAAGAATTTGGTTTTTGGTCACCTGAACGCGGGCAATGCTAACTTAAAGTATACAAGAATTAATGTGAAGTATAGATAAATGCTTCTTGCGAAGTAGCCCAAAAATAAAAGCTTATAAAAATACAAAATTGAAGTTTATAAAAATGCAAGTAAAATCTAGTAAATTCATTTTTAGGGTTACGACTTACGTACCTGAAGGTTGCCAATGCACCCTATTACTAAGCCTCAGCTGTCCTTCCGTCCGTCTGTCAGAGGGCTGTATCTCATGAACCGTAATAGACAACAAAATTGATGAAAATTTCAACTTTCTACGAGTTAAAATATTCACAGAGTATATATTTTATTGCCGCTATAACAACAAATAATAAACAAAAATACAAAAAACTTTTTTTAACTGTCATCGAACTTAACAATTAGTTCAAATTTCAAATAAATGTCAATGGATGACGTTCCATGTATCAATTATGTAGTTATTAAAGTTGTATTAAGCTTTGAACCGTTATTTGAAGCCTATATTAAATATTTGAGAGAAGCTAACTGGATTTCCGGTAACGCGTCAGTTTTTTCTCGAATTCTCATTGGTCGTCCCCCACCATTTTAGTTCCCTCGTTGTACACCAGGTAGCGCTGCGCTCAGAAGATGGCTAGTGTCAGCGCCTTGCTTCATTGGCGATTTGTTTTCCGTAACAGTCGGTCGAGTCTAACATCTACAAGTGAGTTTATAATACTTATATTTTGGATATGGTATATTATAAGTATATTTTTAAATATTATATATTTTAAACGATTTTATCGTTCGGTATTTATTTTATTTTGTTTTTTAAATAATCTCGTTTTCCTTTAAGTATGAGTGAAGATTCTTCCGAATTATCTGATTCCTCTTCTTGCTCGAGTTCCCATAACGTGGAAACGGTGGCAGTGGAGGTTCATGAGCAGGAGCCGCAACGGGCCAAGTCAAGTGCCCTGCCAACCACGCCTGCTCCTTGCCAAACACAGCGAAAACGGAAGCGTTCAGGCTCAAAGGAGCGCAGTGAAAAAAGGAGAAAACGTCTTGAAGAAACCATACATTATTTGGCTCAACAAGTAAGTGGTATACAAAATTATATTGCGAACAGTAGCGTTGCTTTTCAACCTACATGTCACTCTAGTGCTTACGTGCCTGACCAAGGACAGAACATAGATATTGATTCAGATATTAGTGCAGATGTTAGTGGTGAACTATATACCCGTGAGAATTGTACGCAGGAGCCAGTGCAGACTTCTGAATTGCCCGTTAGTTTCAATTTTTCTCTGAATACTGTGTTGAAAGAACCAACAATACAAAAGTCTTCTCAGGCTCGCGTAGTGTTAATTAATTCAATACAACATTTTGATACTGAAGATTGGAACAACGTAGGCTATGCAGAAGTGCAAAAGCAGTACTGTTCTGCTCCGGGTTTTATATATTTAGACACTAATGAAGAAATCAAATCATATGATAAATATTCATCTCTTGCGCTTATTGAGCGGGGTTTCGCTGCCATTACACAGGCTCTTATTATGCAAAATGAAGCCGCATAGAGCGCTTTTACAGCTTTAATTGAGTGGGCAAGTTTCTCAGGTAATAATATCACTGCTAAATCACTGCATGAAAAAGTGAATGAATTATTTATAAAAAGAAAATTTTCAAAAAATTAGTAGCGATGTTTTACAGTTAGCTTGTGGTCACAGAGCTGAATTAGTACAACAAAGGCGTGATAATATTTTGCGTTCAGTAAAAGATAGTTTTTTGAAGTCAAGTTTACGTAAAATCCCTCCCACTAGTGAGAATCTTTTTAATAAGGAATCTTTCTCTACTGCTATCGAAAAATCTGGGGGTATGTCTAAAGTTTTCTGGCCGCTCCGAGCGCCGACACAAAATAAAGCTGCTGCGCAAGCACAGCCCCATCAGCAGACTCAGGTCACACCTAGTCATGCAATGAGAATGCCTAGTGCAGTTAATTGTTACTATCCTCAATTTGATTATATAAATAGGCCACCTTTCCAAGGTGCCTGGAATACTTTTAATGTTAATAGTCAAGGACGAGAATACGTCCGCCCTACCTTTAGATCAAATCAGCTGCAACAATTAAGGCCCTTTCGTCAAAGGCCAGGATCACAAAATTTTCAAAATTCAGAGATGTACTCAAACGCAGGTAGGGGATCAAATAAACAATCTGTTCAGTCAGGATCACGTCGATCAAAAAGAAAATATTGACTCTGCCCCATTCCGCGCGGGTCGCTTACCGGAATTTCTGGAACATTGGAAATACCTACAAGCGCCTCTAGGGCTAATAAAGATTATACAGAATTTTCGCATCCCATTTTTAGCCAGGCCTCCATTAGTAATACCAGACCTAGTCTCCCATCGTTTTCAAACTCCAGTATCGAAAGACATGGACTTAATTATAGATCAATTAATGAAAATGGGGGTCATAGAGCCGACTCCGCTCAGCCCCAGTTTTGTGTCACAAATATTTCTAATACCGAAGGACGACGGATCCATGCGTCCAATATTCAATTTAAAAAGCCTAAACAATTATGTGTTTGTGGACAAATTCAGGCTCATAAATGCGCACAGAATAGTGAACTTTTTGCAACCAGGGGATTGGTTAGCCAAGATAGATTTGTCCAATGCCTACTTCCACCTACCTATGTCCAAAGCAAATCGATGCTTTCTCAGAGTTATTTACAAACGTCATCTATGGCAAATGACGTGTCTACCTTTCGGCCTAGCATGTGCACCAAAAATTTTCGCATCTCTTACGAATTGGGTGGCACAAGTTCTTCGGGGGAAAGGCATTCGAACTGTGGTGTACCTAGACGACTATCTATTAGCTTGCCAAGATCCTCTGCTCCTAAAGCAACAAGTTCGGGATGCTCTGAGCATTCTACAGAAACTAGGTTGGCAAATAAACTTCCAAAAGTCGGTCCTAGTACCACAAACCAATGTACAATATCTGGGAATTGTTTTGGGATACTCATGCAAATCTAAAAAGTTTACCGATAAAGAAGTGCGGGGATCTTCTAACAAAGATTTTGACAATGTTAAAAAGAAAAAGGGCCAATCTAAAAGAAATTCAAAGCTTAGTGGGGTCAATAAATTTTGCCAGTTTTCCAGTGTACAGGGGACGCTTACATCATCGAGCTCTCCTGAAACATTGCCAGCAGTTACTGCGTTGCAATCCTCGGCTGC